TCTCACTTTTTCCGCTCGCCACCAACACACTTTCCAATCCTGTCACTATTCTGTTTTGGACCGGTCGCCATGTTAGAAGAGGAGAATGACCTCTTCTGCTGTTTGAACACAATAGGCAGAAGGATCGATAGGTTTTGAATACATGAAAAGAACCGTTCCTTTCTTTCGCTCTCATAATACCCTCAATACCACCAACCATATACCTGTAGAGGTGCGAGTTTAGTTGTTAATCTTTGGGTTTTTGCACCAAGAAAGTTCCCATTCTTTTTCCTTTCCGCATAAAATATCCGGATCATAACCGTGCGGAAAACTTGCTCTCTCCCTAAAATCAATAATATATGATCATAAGATTGCAATATTAGCCGATTGTTTGCTCACCTTATTTCCCCCCAATTCTCTCATTCCACCTTTACCTCTCTACTTATTGAATCTTACTTGGTGGAGGGCTCACCTGTTCTTTTTTTTTTGCTGGCTGCGGGTTTTAGAATTTTTTTTGATGATTTTTTATCAAACGAATTATCAGATTATCAATGGGTCGAAATTTTGTGCCATTTTCCAATTTATTACAGCCTATGAGCTCATTATTGCATGCTATTCCAAAATTATTCACTTCGAACACTTATCTTCATCACATGTCAAAAACTCAGTCAAGCGTTTCTCTAAAAGCTTTTTTTCTTTTTTCTCCTCTTCATTTCAAAAATTAATGAAACCCTAATTTTTCATTCTTTAGCCTTTTTCAAAAAGTTCGTTGCTCTCCAACTCTTGTAAACGCTTCAGCTTTTCTCACACTTTTTTGATTTATTATTCTGGTAGCCGGGGGAAAGGATAGCACAAAAAAAAGAATGGGGTGGGGTCCCCCAAATGTGTATTGAGGAAGGAAAAACGCTTGTGCTGTTTCTGTGTATGCTGGTGGGACACATTGCTTTGGGTGTCGCGGCTCTTAGAGCCAAAGTGTTGATCTTTTCTGGTCCCAAAGGGAGATTTTCGCCGCCATTTCATACTGGGGATAACCATGTTATAGACACTGAGAACGAGTTCTTTCAAATTTTTCGAGAAGATTTTGGGTACATTTTTCATGAGGTTTCTAGAAGATTACTGTAGTTTTGAAAAATAGAGTTTTGCTAAATCTATTTTGAGGGAAGATCAGTCAAAATAATAAACCATAACTTAGAAGGGCTATTAGGAACTAGCCAAAATGCCAAATTTTTACATCCAGCCCATCCAAACTGTCAACTCTAAGCTCAATTATTTCGATTCCGGTGAAAGATATAAACTATCTATCAACTAATGAAATATTGGTGACATTATGGTAAACAATTTATCAATTGACAATTTTATGATGTTTTTCACAGATACCGAGCAAATTGAGCTCAAGGTTGACGATTTGAGTGAGCTCATAGCAACCCAAAAGTAGGGTCTGAAAAATGTGTTTCACTAGCCTGTTTCACTGAAAGATTTTGACCCAATTTGTGAAGTTCAGATTTTTTTCTTAGCAGTTTTGGATAAGTACGCGCTGAAATTACAATTTGAAACCTGTAAAATAAAAAGAAACAAATCCTTCAAATTTCAAGAAAAAAAGGACAAATATTAAGTACTTTTTAGACCCTCATAATTGGCAACTTTCGACTAATTTTAGCTCGTAAACAGTTAAATATGCTGCCCCAATTAACTCTCACATTTAAACCAATTTATCTCGGTTCCTGTGAAAAGTATCAAAAACTGGTTAACAAAAAAAAATATAGATAATTTGACGGAAAATATTTTATCAGTTGATAGACTTTTGATATTTCTTCCAGGAAATGAGATACATGGCTTTGAAGATGACGGTTTGGGTGCCATTAGGATATTCTGGATTTTTGGTCCACACCACTAAATCTTTTCATAAACCGATGCCTCCAGAATTTCCCAATAATTTTCAACCATTGGCCATTGTACCTCACACTTTCTCTGTTCATCCCATCGACAGCTGTCTCCTCCTACTTCCTTCAAACATTTTTTTGTGCTGAACTTGTCTTTTTGTTATGCGGATTGAGGTATTGCGGGTACACCTACGCCTCTCTTCTCACACTCAAGTTCTCAATCATTGAAAGAACTCAACAGCTGATAAGAAAAATCAAAATCGGAGCAAAAGAAGCATCTCTGATTTCATTTCCGTTGTGTGAAAAGAGAAGCAAGTGAAACAAAACAATAAAAACATTATTATTGTTATTATTCTACCTCTTTTCTAAGCTTGTACTGCAAAAAATCCAGTTTTACTTTCTAAAGGTACTAGTCATATTCTTCAATACAAACGATTTTTTATCTCATTTTGATTAATGCGGTGATAAAATCGACACTATCATTTGACGATGTACCTCTCTCTCTCTCTCTCTCTCTCTCTATCGCAGTCCATTGTGTTCCCAGACCCGCGCAATTATGTCGGAGGTCATAGTTATCAAGTCTTGATAAAAAAAAGTAGACCAGTCTTTTCTTATTCACCCTTTTTTCCTTCCCGTATCTTCTCTTTTTCTCTTCTTGTCTTTGCTACTCTTCAAAATGTGAGGTGGATTGATGAGAGAAGGGTATTAGAAAGCCAAGTGTCATCACTAGACCTTTGGGAACGCTGACTAATTGCTGTTTCTCTCTCTCTGTGGCGCCAGTAGTAGTTGTTTTAGTTGCTTCTTCTTCCGTTTTTTCCTTATCGTCCCTTTTTAGGCCTTCGTTTTTCTTTTTTTTTCACTTTTTAAGTGCCATCTCTTTTTTCTCATTCCTTTTCTCCATTCGGTTCGTTCCATCTACGATTTTTTCTCCTCTTTTCTCTGTTTTCCGATTTATCAGAAAATGTATTCTGAGCCCCCCGTCCGTTTTCCCCATTCTTTTCTCAAAGAATAGGCCTAAAAGGAAAAAGGAAGCAAGAATAATTTTGCATTGACTCCCTCTCTCAGCTTCTCTGTGCTACTTGGGGTGCGGCCCCCCCATTCCGAGACGATGGGGCTAGTACACTTCTAGAACAACATGAGGTCAAGCTCATAAGGGAGCGGAAAATGTAGGACAGAGGCGGTTTCCGATCCATTGTTAGAATAGAAGAGAAAATCTGATTCATAGCCTTTTTTCTTCGGTTCTTTTTTTTTGGTTCTTTGAGCTCAATAAACTAGAAAAATCTAAAAACCCAAATCCCTCATTCCTTTGTCTTTGAACTACGTTGGTCATTCGTTTGATTTGATTTCCACATCCAATAAAATTTGCATATTGAAATATGCAATGTGCCACCCCACCCTCGTTTGTAACTTTCGATTTTTTCTGCACTTTTTGGGGGGAAATCGACTTCCTCATTTTTTTTTCTCACTGTAGTGAAACTCCGATTCTTTATTTAACATTTTGTTTGGTATTTTGAAAATTGTTGAGCATTTGAAGCTTATTTTTAGACACATTTCCAGATAAGAAAAAGCAAAAAAATGGATTCAAAAAACTATTTTTCTTTTTGTCAAACTGACAGAAAATACATTCAGTGGTGTTAGGCGGGTTTCCTTGAGCAATTGTAAGCCGAAATATTCTGAATTTTTTTTATTCTGAGAGTTTTCTTCAAGTTCTCTGAATTTGATTAATTTATCTCGATTGATTATAAGTGAGGGAATTATAGAATTTCAAAGTTTTTAAATTTTTTTTTTGAAAACCTCTCTTGAATATTCTGAGATTTTAAGAATAAATAGGCAAAAATTTTTGAACTCTAAAATTATTAAAACGTGGATTTTTACAAATTCAGATTTTATCTTAAAGTCCAATGTACATTTTCCCTGTCTTCGAGCATCTCTTGATTTCGTTGAGAACTATCTAGCATGATACTATTATAAATCAATCCTAAACAAGTTTCTTAATGAGTCATCAGAGGCATTTAAGGTCCAGAAATTCCATAAAATGCAACAAATCTTATAGATCCCAATGTTCGATATCCCCCTCTCCCCCAATTCTCGCATCCTCACCACCATTAATATCTATTTAGAAGATAAGCATCGCCTCCTCCTCATCTCAAATCAATATATACAAAATGTAGATCACGGCTTCTTGTTCTTATCCTTCTTGATTCCGAATATATTCTCACCACACACACACACACACACACACAGCTAGTGCCCCTCCGGCTGTTGCCTTTTTGGAAGATGCTGTTTCCATTCTCTTCATTGACGTCGTCCGACCTTCATCATTATTCGGGAAGAGAGGAGAAGAAAGGATAGAAAGAGAGGAAGAGAGGAAGAGAATGAGATGGTGCCTTCTGTTCGGAATCAAGGCGACTATTCTTGCGGCCTTCGACACACAGACACAGTCACTTATTCACAACCTGGTCAGGTCTTGACCACACGGGCTTGTCATCTCAATTTCTCACGTTTCGATCTCTATAGAATTTCAAATTTCTAAAATTTCCGAAAATTTTTGGGAATTTTGGTGGACCACCACATTGTTTATGTTTTGGGGTTTAGCTTCCTCTTCTCTATACGTAAACAAAAGTTCGAAATTTTTCTCTTTCCGATTTTCAATGGGTGACATCGGATAAGCTTAAAAAATGTTTCACATGTGAACAATTTGTGCATTTCTCACTTTTCCTCCTCCCATTTTTCTTTTCAGAGCCCTCAGGAAAAACAGTGTAATAATGCTGGACGTATGCTCTCTTCCTCGCCCCGTCCACTAAAACTTTTTCCCATCTTCTTGCCTCGAATGCACTCCTTATCGATCTAGTTATCATATCATTTTTTTCTAGTACAAACATTGTACACCATTTCATAAAAAACTATTAGTTTAAGGTTGACCAGTGAGTCATATTTTGGGTGACATTCATTCAGCGAGTTAGTCATATTTTTTGGGGTTACCTCGTTTTTGTAATATCGTTTTCCTTTCTTATAATTTCATTCGATACTGTCTTACCCTAATTTTTCAATTTCCAGGTTCAACCAAACAATCCGGCGAGTCACCCACATTGTGGTTCTTAACTTCGGCGTGCTTCCACGCCGCCAAATTCCACAAGAATCATGTCAGGACTCGATGAGATTGATTTGAATTCTCTAAGGGTGAGGTTTTGTTCTTGAAGGCCACCCACAGTGGAACAAAAAACTTTTTATGGTATTAGGTATCGACTCATTTCATTTCCTTTGTGTCGAATCCCCGATATTTCGCAACTATTTCCAAACATCTTGTTGATCCTACACACAGAACAAAATGCTCGGAAGCAAAAGCATTGTGTTGGGGGCGATGTAACTATTTTGTGTCTTCAAAAATCAACTTGGTTGATGTTAAAAATTGTCAAATTTATAGAGAAGAAAACATAAAAGTTACACAATTATAATTCTAATTCTCATAGAGAAAATGAAGGAGGTTTTAGAGAGAAAAAAGAAATACTACAAAATTCAATCAAAAATTTAATTTTCAGGATCCAGCTGGAATCTTCGAGTTAATTGAGGTTGTTGGAAATGGAACTTACGGGCAAGTATATAAAGGACGACATTCAAAACCCAACAGTTAGCCGCTATTAAAATTATGAATATCAATGAGGAGGAGGAGGATGAAATTAAATTAGAAATTAATATGCTGAAAAAGGTAAGACTCATTTTTTGATTTTTTTTCTCAAAAATTGAATTACAGTACTCTCACCATCGGAATGTTGCCACTTATTACGGAGCATTCATCAAAAAATTACCCTCGTCCACGGGAAAACATGACCAATTATGGTTGGTCATGGAGTTCTGTGGTAGTGGATCGATTACGGATCTCGTTAAAACCTCGAAATCAGGATCACTCAAAGAAGAATGGATTGCCTACATTTGTAGGGAAATTTTGAGAGTAAGTCGGTAAATTAAAAAAAAATATATTACTGCATTTCTCGCAGGGTCTCTATCACCTCCATCAAAGTAAAGTGATCCATCGTGACATCAAGGGGCAAAATGTGCTTTTGACTGATAATGCAGAAGTGAAATTAGTGGATTTTGGAGTTTCGGCGCAGATGGATAAGACTGTAGGACGACGGAATACTTTCATTGGTACTCCATATTGGATGGCTCCCGAAGTTATTGCATGTGACGAGAATCCAGAAGCCACTTATGATTCAAGATCGGATTTATGGTCATTAGGTAGGCATTTTGAAAAAAAAGGAAAAATCCAGTCAAGCTAATTTTGATGCATCTTCCTTCGTCATTTACCGAAATTCTCTAATAAAAGCTCAAGCCCTCATCTTCGAGCTGATTTATTTCGATTCGAGTGAGAGGTATCATAAATTCGACAACTGTTAAATTATTTATCATAATACCAAAAATATTTTATCAATCGTCAGATTTCTGATATCTTTTACAGTAATAGACATAATTGAGATAAAAGTGCACGTACAGAGTTAGCTTCTTTTAAAGAAAATACGGTAATTGCATTGATACTGTAGTAAAATGAGCAAAACAAGGATTTGAAACAAGAAAACCAAAACAAAATAAATCTTAATCCCATGACTCATTGCTATGGAACACAATCTTATCGAATTTAGGAATCACTGCATTGGAAATGGCCGAAGGTCATCCTCCCTTGTGCGATATGCATCCGATGAGAGCGTTGTTTTTGATTCCACGCAACCAGCCGCCAAAATTGAAAAAGAACAAAAAATGGACAAAAAAGTTCGAAACTTTTATTGGTGAGAAAACCAATCCTGAAAAGAAAAACTCATAAGAACATTTCAGAGACCGTGCTAGTAAAAGACTACCATCACCGACCCTACACAGAAGCTCTACTTCGACATCAGTTTATCAAGGAACAACCGCATGAACGAACTATACGGCATTCTATTAAAGAGCATATTGATAGGAATCGTAGGGTCAAGAAAGACGATGGCGACTACGAGTACTCGGGAAGTGAGGATGATGAGCCACCACCAAACCATCGTGGGCCATCAATGGGTATCCGAGATGACACTGAGAGCTGTTCAATGATTCCAATGGAGAACACCCTTCGAAAGGGATTCCAGAAGATTCAAGAGAACAATCGCCGATTCGCGGAACCCGGAGTACAACAGTTGAGACGTCTGCCACAACAACCAGTGCCACCGCCATCCCAATACCCACCATCTAGGTATATCGAACCGTCACGACGTGAAGCTGATGTCAAACTTCGAGCTGTTTCATCTCGAGGAGCCGCCGACGGACCACGACATTCGCCAGCAGCAAGGCCTCGGCCAGTGAGTCATCACCAGGTTTTGTTTTTGACCCCTTTTTGTACCTAATCAGTGTAAAAAGTCATCAAATGGGTTGTGAATGTGTGCCTAACAAAAATAATCAAAAACATTAATGTGTCGCAAGTTTTTGGGTGTGGTCGTGATTAATTAACCTTTTTTAATGAGAGCGTCCGGGACGACGTTAACATTTTGAGCGGCGTGAACTCGTGAAAGCTGTCAGTTAAGATCGAATTTAATTTTGATGGAATGTGTTTCTGGACATTAAATTTCTTTCGTGCAAAACAATATACCGTAAAAACTATAATACAAGGTCTCCCAAACTGTCAACTTTGAGCTCAATTATCTCGATTCCTGTGGAAATTACCGAAATTTTGTCAACTGGTGAATTGTTAATCATAATATAATAAAAATTTTAATAGTTGACCCATTTTCGATAATTTCTACGGGAATAGAGATAAATAAGCTTAAAGCTAGCGGCTCTGTGACCTTCTATTTAAAAGTTTACGATTGGTTTTCGTGAATTCAACAGATACTGAGTAGCAGAAACATATCAATTCAAAATTACTTGGAACATTTACTGTCTTTTACCTCACTAACCCTTTGATGAATTTTCTTTAAAATCGATATCTAAGTACTATATTTAATTTAATTTTCAGCGTTCTCCACAACAAGTGCACCCAGCAGCGCCACATTTGGCCGATCTCGCCAACTATGAAAAACGAAGACGCTCCGAACGGGAAGAACGCCGAGAACGAGAACGTGCCGCTCATCATCAAATGCCAATCGCTCGTGTATCAGCCAGCGTTCCAGCTCCACAACAATCCCGCAAGATGTCCGAACCTCTCCTAATCAGCCATCATGCCAAACCGGAAGATCTCGATGTGCTGGCCAGTGAACTTTCCAAAATCGGAGGACTTCGTAATGGACGTAGTCGTGAGGAGAGCATGAGCCCACCACCTCCGGCGCCTCCACCACGCGAAGCGTCCATTTCTTCAATCACCGACTCTGTTGACGTCAGTGAAACGGAGAATGGAGCAGATGCAGAGTGGGACGATTTGAAGGACCTTATGATGAACGGCGAGAGCACACTGCGCGGACCGAATAAGCCTCTTCCGCCGACGCCGACAGATGGCGAGAATACACTTGTGTCAGATGCGCGACGCAATGGTAATGGAAGTGCTCATGGTCATGGAGGTTATAAAGCAAAGAGTGCTCTTCCAGAGGTTTGTTGAATAGGGGTCATGAAGAAAATACAACTGCAAACAAATGATTTTGGGCAAAACTTTGAAAAAAAAAAGAACATTTTGAACCATAACTGAACCTGCACACTGTTAATATGAAAAACGTTGATATGGAAAAAAGTGATTTCGTAATATTTATAGTTTTCGAAGAGATTAAAATATATAATGGTGCCGGTCCATAAAATATACAAAAACGTATTATCAGTGGATTGATGGTCATTTTGACCACTTTCAGGAATATAAAGCTTAGATGTTAAGTTGCCGATAACTTTGAAATTTTCGAAATTATTAAAAACATGACAGCCGAGCTTCACACTCCTGAAAATGGTCTAAATGACCTAAAATCAACTGGAAAACTTTTTGTAGACTCTATTGACCGGTACTGTAGATTTAGTTTGTGAAGAGGTTCAAATCATCAGTAGCTATAATATCACTGAATAGTAGATTCAATCAATTAAATTTCAGGTCCGTCCCGGCATCATCTCCCTCGACGACGATGATAGTGATTCCGACAACGAGGACACCAACGAGCCGCTCATGTTCAAGCCAATTGTACGTTCCATCGCTTCTAATTTGTCTTGTATAACAGTTCTTTCCATTATCCAGAATGCCTCAAGCTCGCGCGGAGCACTACCAGACCTCCTTCCAAAATCTCCACAACTCCGTCGCCCGGAAACTGCTTCTACTCGTCCGATAGGAGATACATCAGATGAAGTGAGTTTTTTTTTTTTTTTGAAATTTTGTTTTGAAGAAATAGTTCAAAAAATTAAAACTGAAAATTAAAAATCTAGAGCGCCTCCCTGTTTGGAAGTTTCTATGTAAGTTGGGGAATTTCAGTTTCGTCATTTTTATACCTTGGAAATTAGGTTTTAGCTACATCCTTAGCCTTCCTATGTTATTTTTTGATTTTTCTTTTTTTTTATCTGGGCTGCTCAGAAATCGATGTTGTAAACGTTTTTTTTTCAACCAAGATAAAACATTTTTCTTCCAAAAAGACTCTATTTTCAGCAATCCAATGGATCTGACAGCCGCGCCTCAATTCAAAACTCATTTTCGAGTCGTGACCGTGAAAAGTCGTTTGTTGGATACTTTGGTGGTGGCGCTGGAGCTGGTGGTGGTACTGTCAATCGTCCAGGACGACCACAAGATGTGAATCAAGTGCAAGTGAATGTGACGCCGCATTCTAATGGCACATCAGCTGATAACGATGCTCCGGAGATTCGTAAATACAAGAAAAAGTTCAGTGGAGAGATTCTGTGTGCCGCACTCTGGGGAGTCAACTTGCTCATTGGAACTGACAGTGGTCTGATGCTTCTGGACCGCAGTGGACAAGGAAAAGTGTACCCACTCATCAGTCGCCGCCGTTTTGATCAAATGACTGTTCTGGAAGGCCAAAACATTCTCGTGACAATTTCCGGCAGGAAGAGAAGGATCAGAGTTTATTATCTGAACTGGCTACGACAGAAGATTCTTAGAACTGAGGTAGTTCCAGGTGATAATATGGCAAACCTCATCATTTCAATGTTTTCAGGGAGCTGGAAGCGCAAATACAACTGAAAAACGGAATGGATGGGTGAACGTAGGAGACTTGCAAGGAGCGATTCACTTCAAGATTGTGAGATATGAAAGAATAAAGTTCCTAGTGGTCGGACTGGAGAAATCCATTGAAATCTATGCGTGGGCACCAAAACCATACCACAAGTTCATGAGCTTCAAATCATTTGGCTCGTTGAATCAAGCTCCATTGATTGTGGACCTCACGGTTGAGGAGAATGCCAGACTAAAAGTTCTCTACGGATCTGTTGGAGGCTTCCACGCAATTGATTTGGACTCGGCAGCTGTTTATGATATCTACACACCATCGCAGGTAAGAATTAAAAAAATGTAGACTTCTTGATGAAAAACTATTTTCAGAGCGGCCCAACAACAACTCCACATTGCATCGTAGTCCTTCCCAACTCCAATGGCATGCAGCTGCTTCTTTGTTATGACAGTAAGCGAACCGGGAATCCAACATTTTTTCAAAACGTTGAATTTTTCAGACGAGGGAGTCTATGTTAACACCTATGGCCGCATGACAAAAAATGTGGTGCTTCAATGGGGCGAGATGCCAAGCAGTGTGGCTTACATTTCTACTGGACAAATCATGGGATGGGGAAATAAAGCCATCGAGATCAGATCTGTGGACACTGGTCATCTAGATGGAGTTTTCATGCATAAGAAGGCTCAGAAGCTGAAATTCCTGTGCGAGAGAAATGACAAGGTAAGAAGGGTTCAGTGCAGCCTTGTTTAAATCGGGGACATCGGAAATCCGGTATTCCCGGTTTTCCCGAAATTTTTGGCAGGTAATTCGGAGGATACAAACGTTTTGAGGTCATTAATGTACGAAACAATTTTTTCAAAATACCTGAAAATCCGAATTTCGTACCCCGAATTAATAATTTTGTACCCCTCAATCCCTTTGTGCCCCATTGTACCCCCAAAATGTCGTTCCCTCCGGATTATGTGCTAAAAACTTTTTTGAATAAAAAAGTTTGTTGGAAAAATGTTTGAAAACAATTGATCCTTATTGTTTCAAATAAGTTTCTGCTTATTTTCTCTCAATTTCTTGCTTTTTTTTGTTATTTTTCACGAAAATGCATTGGAATCTAGTTAGAAACGTAAAGAAATCTCTAATAACAAACACAAAATTGAAGGAATCAGGCAAAAATTGACCACTTTACGAGTTTTTCCCGATTTTTTACAAATTCGCGATATATAATTTTAAATGAAATATTATTTAAAAAAACTAAAAAGTTATTTCCCGAACAAAAATGTTTTATTGCTCTTCAAAATTCAATTTTTCAGGTGTTCTTCTCCTCTGCAAAAGGTGGCGGCTCTTGCCAAATCTATTTCATGACTCTGAACAAACCAGGACTCACTAATTGGTAATCAGAACAATTTTCCATTTAAGTAATAATTATTTATGTGATTTTTCCATTCGAACACCTCGTCTTCTCCCCCAAATTATTTTTTTCTGGCCTTTTTCATCCGCCCCCCCCCCCCAAAATCTCCAATACTTTCCGCAACTGTATTTGAACAATCCAGGATTTCAATTAGTCGCCTCCAATTACTACTAAATTTAAAAAAAAATTTCATCCCAGTCAAAAAACAATGTTCTATGTACCTTCTCAACAGAAAAAATAAGATAAAAACTTGCTCACTTTGTGATTAAATCGCTTTCTAGGCATTTCATGTACACTTTTAACAAAACCTGCACCCCCAAACCCCTCCGAAAGTGCTCATATTCTATATTTTTCTTCACACCGATATTTTTTTCACACTCTGAAACCCCACTCCTTTGTCAAATTGCCTAATCATTGTTTTTCTTTTTTTTTTCTTGTGCTAGCTCCTCAAAAAGGGGCTAGGCAATCTCTTCGTGTCTTTTTAATATATACTTATTTTCTTTGAAAAATAAATTATGAAAATTCAACTGTGGAAGTGCAAAGAATGAGATCTGTAAGCAGAATGTGCTTCATTTTAATCAATTTTTAAGAAATTTTCCCAAGAAAAGGTCTTGGCATATTGATAACCCGTCAACCGCAAACCTTTAGAGGCAAATTTAAGCAATTTTTCGAATTTTTCTTCGATCAGACTCCAAATATTCAAATATTTCACTTTGCAGGGTGGAAATTATCATAATTTAGTCATCAAATTATGTTATGAAAATTTTGCCAGAATATAAGGAGGATGGAAACAAGTATTGGCACAGGTTTTCCATTCTTTCCGTATCTCTATCACTATGCAAATATTCCTGAAAGAGGAATTAGATGCTCTCCGTGCTCAGAAGGAGACGAAAGCTTCCACTTCTTCCAACAATCAAGGAATTGGATCGAACATGGCTGCGACTCCAACTGCACCAACTACTCCAACAATCAACACCACACAGGCTGGAAATAAGATTGAAGTGATTTTGAAGAAGAAATAATTGTTTCGCAATAAATAAATAATTGTTCTGTTAGCAATGTGTTGCTTAAATCAGGAGAATTAAATGCAACATTTGCCGCTGGACGTTTTAGAGCAATAATACAGCGAATAAACGTAAAGCTTTTTCTCGGAAGTTCACTGGAAAGCGACATGTTGTTAAATGAGTGGTTCAGCTGATGTTTTTCAGACGTTTTCAGCTGTAGATGAATTGTTAATATTATCATGGGTCCCTTCCAAAAAGTATGGTCCCAAAAAGCAATTTACCAATTATGGTCTCAACGATCCAACGACGGTTCCTAATTACAATGATATAAGGGCCTCTTAACTTCCAACTTTAAGTCTATTTATCTAGCTTCTTGTCGAAGTTACAGAATAGTTGTCAACTATATAATTGTTCAGCATACTATCACCAATATTTTATCAGTGCACAGATTTTTTATATCATGCATCGGTAAAGAGATAATTGAGCTTAAAATTGACAGTGTGAGCAATTCTAATACCTGTTTCACGGTATTCAATTTTGTTTTTCTTGCTTCAGCTGCCAATAATGCGATTCGAAACTGGTAGTATTCTTTCCGAAGAGAACCATCGAGCTTCAAGATTCATTGCTAAAAAAGAGCAGACCATCGGAATCCGTTTGCTCAAAGTTAATCTACAAGAATTGATTTTCTTCCTTCAAACCCTGAATTTTGAAATTCATCCTTATTTTTTCTTCCATTGCAATTCCAGTTTTTCACTTTCATCTCAAATGACAACGTGCAGAAGAAATTTTATTTGAAACTTGGCACTGAGCCAAAATTGGTCGCGTATCGTCGTCATTGCATTTCGCTGCGTAGCGACTCAACAAGACTCGTATGACCTCTTCCCCTCTTCTCCCCAATGTGGAGACCCTGTGTTGCAGACCACCGCTGCCCTCTCAAACTTATCCCTTCGACTTTCTTTAGCTGTTTTTCTCTGACTTTTTTTTCCAGTGAAATGACCGGCGGTCCCACCTTGAGACCATTCTTCCTGGAAGAAAACCATCACGGTTTGAAAATTTTTCTTCAACTGGAAAAAAAGAACAGATTTCATTGGAATCCGTTCACTCGAGATTGATTCACTCAGACAACTGTGAATCCCAAAATTTTCCATTCGTTTTTTTTCATTTTAATCCCGTCCTCCTCTCATCTGGGACTAGCCTTGTCTTTTTCGCAACCACATTGCCTCCCCATCCTTTCAGAAAAAAACATCCCCCTCCTCCCAGGTCCGCAATGTGCCGCCGCTGTGTTACGGACAACTACTCTCCATTCAAATCTGATGACCCTCATTGTATCTCAATTTGCTCATGCAACTCGTTTTCTTTGATTTTCTACGTTGTTTTCTTTTAATGATTTTTTTCTTATCAATATTCAATCATCAAAATCATTTTTTCAGGTAATTATAATGAAATCCAAACACCACCATCACTCTCATAAGCGAAAGCACAGATCCAGTGGGAGTCGTGATTCGAGGGAATCTCCCCGTCCAAATCACAAGGTGAGTTTATTGAACAATTTTTTAAGGAAACACATTTTATTTTATTTTTAGAAGCGACGTCATGAAAAGCGTCGTCATGAAGATGATGATCGCCGCGATGAGCACTATGGGGATTCTCGCCCGAAATCGTCATCGAGAGACAAGGATCGTCGTGACCAACGCCGGCATCGTGATGATTATCTAGAAGACTATCATTGTGGTAAACGCCGTCACAACGGCGAATCTCGTGGAAAGTCTCCGAAAAACATACGATCCGACAGTCGGGACGAGCCCAAGCACAGATCCAGTGGGAGTCGTGATTCGAGGGAATCTCCCCGTCCAAATCACAAGGTGAGTTTATTGAACAATTTTTTAAGGAACACACATTTTATTTTATTTTTAGAAGCGACGTCATGAAAAGCGTCGTCATGAAGATGATGATCGCCGCGATGAGCACTATGGGGATTCTCGCCCGAAATCGTCATCGAGAGACAAGGATCGTCGTGACCAACGCCGGCATCGTGATGATTATCTAGAAGACTATCATTGTCGTAAACGCCGTGACAACGGCGAATCTCGTGGAAAGTCTCCGAAAAACATACGATCCGACAGTCGGGACGAGCCCAAGGCTTCGGATTCTTTGACAATCAACCACCATGGCGACGCCGGTTATCGAGACGAGCCAACTAGCCAACGTCAAGAGGTATCTATCATTTGAGAAAGTTTAGAAGTATTTATCCATTTTTGCAGAGAATCAGCCGTGATGATCATCGTGAGGATGCTCGTCGGGATGAGAGCTACCGTGAAGACGAGACGCGTATGATATCTCCAGTCAGGCAGAAAGCGGAAAATCACGGATTCGGCAACGAAACTCACAGAGATCAAAGTCCAACTATTAAGTCGGAAGTCGGCACCCCAGATCATTCCCATTCTGATGATCAAAGGAATACTCCAATGAGCCAAAGAGATGCAACTTCTCCAACGACCGAAATCGACCAAGCAGAGGAGGAAAATACAGAACCACCGCCGAAAAAGATTCGACAGGAACGGAAGTCGAAGAATCTCGGAACAACAGGTAAGAATATCTGAACTATAAATTGTATCTTCATAAACAACATTCAGAGCTCACCGCCAACGTCCTGAGAGTGTCTGAGGTCTCCGAAAAGGAGCAGTTCCGAATGGCTCTTCAAGAATCCGAAGATTCTCCTCTGATCTTAGCTATCTGCAACTATGAATGCTATGAAAGTTGTGAGAGTGTTAAGTTCGGAGATAGAGTCCAGATTGAAGCGGAAGTGATGAAGAAAAGTAAGTTCTCGATCAATATCTAGTATGCTGATAATTTATTCTGTTACAGATGATTCGAATGTGGTAACTAAAATTTGGATCGATAGGATTCTAAGAATCGACAAGGGCGTTTCCAGACAAAACTCCGTTCCACACTCAATTGCAAGTTTGCCATTTTGCATCAAGCCAAGATGTAAGTATAAGTGGTAATCTTCTAAAATTTCATACTTTTTCTTCAGTCATCCATGAACTCTCGGATGTGGAAATCAAAAAAACTGTTCTACAAGTAACAATTTTGAACGTGAAGTTTACCGTTTATAAAGGGTATGATAGTTATATAGTTCTAACATCCAGTATTACTATTTTTCAGTTGTCTGAATTGTCAGCATGCAATGAGAAAAGTAACAAAGGTTGCTTTCTGCCCCAAGTGTAAAAGAAGAAGGTGTCGAGATATGCCGTTTGGCAGGGTAACAGTTTCCAAAAAATTCGAAAATTGCAAATCACCTTTTTCCAGATGCGAGTCATGGATTTCTCTGGACAAATCTACGTCAGTTTGAGACCGGAAGTGATGGAAAAATTTTTGGATATTTTGGGATATACCGATCATATTTCGGGATATACCGATTGGGATGCATTCACCTGGCCAAGTGAACGGTATAATTTTTGTACCCCATGTATTATTTTTTGACAAAAAATTTGCAGTGCCAACTATGTGTTCATATCATTCATGATGGAAATTGAAAAGAAATCAAATGAATGGGAATGCACTGATGTTGCTGAAATGGACTGGGCTGTCTACGCAAAATATTTGAAGGAAAAGGTTGGTGAAGTACTATGATGACACAAAAAAAATCGGAGCTGTGGAAGAGAAGCACCGTTGGCCGTAACCAAAGGTCCCACAACTACCATAACCAGTTTTTATTTTATTTTACAGGGTTTATTATCTTGATTTTTTTTCCAAAAAAAAGGAAAGTTAAAAATTTTGAGAGTGATTAATTGACGAGAATGAACTTTGAAAAAAAAAAATACTTTTTGGTTACGGTAGCTGTCGTTGTAGGACCTTTCTCTTCCACAGCTCCAATTTTTCGTAACAGTAGACTAGCAAAGATTGCTTTGGTTTTCTTTATAAATTAGAAAATGTCTGATTAATTCAATAGTCTTGAACGGTTGTTTTCAGGAGGAGAAGGAGAATAGACAAACCGAGGAGCCAGTTCAATAATTTCCGGACCAAAGCGATTCATCACCGATCTGAAAATCTGAAAATAATATTTTTTGATCTGTTTACTGTTTATTGGTTTATTGGGTTTACTTTTTGTTTATTAATATATGAAGTGCTTTATTTGAAATAATCTCATAAATAAGTGAAACCCGGCAAATTATGGGCTAGTGTCAAGACAACTTTATAGTAGTCGTAACCCTATTGGAAATTTTGAAAAAGTTCTGAACGAAAAGAATAGGTTCAGAAAACTGGCACAGTTGGAGATGTTTTGACACTTAGAAATGTAGAGTTTCTCAGCAAGTTTTTTTGTCTACGAGTGCAGCCAGTGCGACGGTGAACTTTCGTTTTGTGCTTTCTTCTTGTAGATTGTTTATACAACGTTAGAGATCCAATTCCACGGCTGCTTTTGCAGCAAAGATCATAATGACCACACTGGGGCTCAAATCGGATACCTGAACATAAAAAAAAGTTTTCAACGGATTTCCTGCTCTTATCGCTGTTCAAATTTTATCTCTGTCGCTTAAAAGTAAAATAAACTGTGCCGCGTTCAAGTTATTTTTCGAATCCCCGCTTCAAAATTCAATCAAATATTAAATATTCAAATATTTCACTTTGCAAGGTGGAAGTTGTTATAATTTAGTCATCAAATTATGAAATGCTAATTTTGGCAGAATATAAGGAGAATGGAAACAAGTATCTGCACAAGTTTCTCTTGTTTTCCGGACTATTAAATTCACTATGCAACTCTTCCTGAAAGAGGAATTAGATGCTCTCCGTGCTCAGAAGCAGTCGAAGGCTCCCACTCCAATCAACAAACAAGGATCAATTAGTTCTAACAATTTTTTTACTCCATCCAACAACCAAGGGCCGATGGGATCTAACAGTACTACTACTCCAACTACACCGACAATCACCACCACACAAGTTGGAAAAAACATCGAATTAATTTTGAAGAAGGAATAATTTTTTGACTAGAAATGAATTATTGTTTCGTTAGCTTTGTGTTAAAAAGTGGAAAGCAAACCTTGTCTCTAGAATTTTGAAACGATTTTTTGGTTTCGATGTGTTTCAGACTTCTCCAGGTAGCAAGAAATTTTTCAGCTCAAACGTTTCGCAACCCAGACGTTTTGCACTATCAAATATGAAAATAACATGAGAAAAGCGCAAGACAATACCAAAAAACAACATTTCTAGCTGGAAATTGTTTGATTTGAAACAATAACGGCTGCCAACAGTCCTAGCGGCAAAACGTCTCGCTACAAAACGTCTGGGAGCTTTTCAGACAATTGAGCACGTTTTTCAGACAGATCTTCTTGTGTTTTCTGTAACATCTCTCGTTCAATTGTTAATACTTTCTGGGAAGATTGTTACGAACACAACCCCAACGTTCCGACAACGCTCCAAACATTTTGAAAACATTCGTTGGTTTGTTTATTTATTTCTCTCTTTCTTGTTTGCATATGATGATCATGGGATCCAATGATGGGACTGTTCTTTCCGGAAAGAGCCATGAACACTTGAAAATTCTGCTTCATTCTGAGAAAAAAAAAATTTAACCGTGATTATTTCAAATATAAAACTTGAAATTTTCAATTCAATATGATTTTTCTACTAATCCAATTTTGGTCTTTCAAATCTCCTCTGGGCCCATCTTTGTCTCATTCTATTGTTTCTAGTCCTATTTCGCAACCAATATTGCGCGGGGAATATAACCCGCCTCCCCCTCCCGCCATGTCCGCGATGTGGCGTCGTTGTGTGTTGCGGACCGCCGCCTTTTTTCAAATTCATTTTTTCTTCATTCTATCTTTATTCGCGCACACTGTTCATTTTTCTCAGATTTTCTCCGTTTCTTTCTTATATTTTTTTTCCTTCCTCGTCGTTATTTAAGAATCGAAATTGTTTCTCCAGGTAATAACAATGAAATCTACTCATGAGAATCGCGACAGGAAGCGGAGATACAGCTCAAGTGACGATGAGAGTCGTCAGTCGAGGTTCTCTGTTCGTCCGAACAATGATGTAAGTTTATTCCTTGATTTTTTTAGAGAAGAAAACTATTCTTGCTTTTAGAAGCCGTCCAACAGCAACAGCAACAGCAACAAGACTCAATCATCCAGAGATAGAGAAATCCGCCGTAACACCGCCACTAGAAACGATTCCAGACGTTTTGAGGTAAATTTCATCCGAAAAGGTCCAGGGGCATATATTGATTTTTGCAGAAAGATCAACGTGGTGCCCGTCGTGAAGAGCGTTGTCGTGAAAGCGACTCGCGTACGAGATCTTCAGTCAGTCGGAAATCGAAGAACGACGGATTCGGAAACGAGTCTCACAGGGATCAAAGTTTCAGGCGAAAATCTCCGTACTCGAAAAGCACTCGCCGTGATCATCGCGATGATCGTGAAAGTCATGAGAAATCATCATATCGTCGGGAAACTGACAATTTTGGAAACGTCGCCAAAGATCATTACCACCAGGATCATCGTACAAAATCCCCAGTGGAAAAAAGAGCCAAAAGAAGTGATCAGGCTGAAGACCGCCATTGTGAAAACCGTCGACGTCACGACAAATCTCGTACGCGTTCTCCTATGAGCAAAGGATCCGATGGATGGGATGAAGTCAATACTTCTGATTCTACAACTACCAAGCGCAGTCGTGACACATCTTCAACGTCTCCGGATAGTCAAGCATCCAGAAGTTCCGAAGCGTCATATCGCAGGTCTGAGTTTCCGGAAATCGATGTAACAAAGCAATTGAGACGTTACAATTTGAGTAAGTTTATCAAACGTTTAAATACGCTCTAAAAACTTTTTTTGCAGTCATGGACACGATTAATCATAGAAATAACAAGGCAGTAGCTCTTGAAATCGGAGCTGTCTTTTCGCCAAAGCCGTTGAGAGACGAAAACGAGAGTGTTGCCGCGTTCAGTTTTGAAGATGCGTGTGGTCCTGCACTACCGAACAAAGCGTCTATCTGGGAGTCGGACGGCAAAAATCTGGAGGAGAGTGACAAAGTGGGAAAGTCGAAATCAGGAAGCGGACAGGGTTCACCCTTGGGTACGCCACCACCCGGATCTCCAATTCGACACAATATGCTTGTTGAGGGTAAGTTGAATTTTTTTTGGTTTTTTTTTGTTAAGAGTCTTAACTCAGGAACATTTTTGTCAAAAAAAAACTCGAAATCGAAAAATTTGCACATGCGCTCGAGTTGAATTACTAGCAAATAGCAAAAACGAGGCAAAATCCGTTTTTTTTCCCGTCGTAATAATTTGTTTTTTTTCTTTTAGCTGATGTTATTTGCATATCCGACGACAAATCCGAAGACGCCGAATTCAAGTACGACACCACCCCACCACCTGAAGAATTGGATGCGATGGCAGATGAAGAGAAAGCTGTAAGGAGAATTTTTTTCATTTAAATTAGAATTTTCCATTTCTTCAGAAGTACACATCTGCAATAGAAGTGCGCAAACGCAGGCAACACGAACAAGAAATCTGTGAACTTCCGGTTTCCTTTCCAGGGCTCTACGGTTGTCGACACATCTCCGAGTACCATATTCTCAACAAAATATCTGCTGGAACTTTTGGAGAAGTGTTTCGCGGCAAGCACACTCGTACCGATGAGATTGTAGCTCTGAAGAGATTAAATATGGAGTACGAAGAGGAAGAATTTCCGATCACTGCACTTCGTGAGATCGATATGCTTTTGAAGGCCGATGATCATGAGAATGTGGTTAATGTGAGGGAGGTCTTGCTTGGCCGAACAGTTTTCGATGTTTATATGGCAATGGAATACATAGAAAATGATGTTAAGAACTGGATTGACATATTGAAGCACAACGGCAAACGTTTCCGTATTGGGCATACTAAGAATCTCGTCTGTCAGTTGCTCCAAGGAATTTCTCATTTGCATGATCTCTGGATTCTTCACCGCAATCTCAAGCCTGCAAATCTTTTGATCTCGAGCTCTGGAGTTTTGAAAATTGCCGACTTTGGGTTAGCTCGCGAGTTTGTTGAATCCAAAGACATTGAAAAGCGAACGAAGATGACGTTAAGAGTTGTAACGCTCTGGTACAGATCCCCAGAGTTGCTTCTGCATCCGATAACATATTCTACTCCTATTGACATGTGGTCTGTCGGATGCATCATGGCTGAATTCATCACAATGCATCCATTGTTCCAAGGTTGCGATGAGCCGAACCAAGTGGATCTCATCTTCCGAATGATGGGTACTCCCAGTGAAAAGAATTGGCCAACAATCAACGAGTTGCGCCTTTGGCAACCCGTTACTTATCCAGTTTACAAGCAGGGAGAATTTAGAAGAAAGTTCTTGGAGGCGAAATTGTTGGATGAAAATGGATTTGATCTTCTCAACGGGTGAGTCAAAAGAGCTATCAAAATGGAGAAAAAACCTTTAATAATTTATTTCAGACTACTAACGATGGATCCAAGTCAACGTCTCACTGCATCCGAGGCTTTGAAACATCCATGGTTCAAGTGAGTATTACAGCTTTTTGATACTTTCTTGATGCTGCAGTCGTTTTTTTGAGCGAAGGTTGGCCATACTTTGCTTAATTTTGTATTCTAAAACAAGCCCACGGTGCGTTCGAAAACTAGCAACCCTTAGCATTAATTATGCCTGAAAGACGCCAGCTGCAGCCGAAATGGTCATACAGAAAATCTAAAACTTTTCCCAAAACTCACGTAGACGACAGCTGTCGCCGAGGCGATTAGAAAAAAACACTTAAGCCAAGTCTGGCCAACCAGTGCCCAAAACACCACAGCCGCTTTTTAAACATGCAGCACTGGTCAATAAGATTCACAAAAACATATTTAGTTTATTTCGGCTTTAAAGGAGTCTGGAGCAAGACTATCAAGTTTGCGATGACTCTGAGTGATCGAAAACTCAACGGCCAAGCCCCAGACCCCTGAAAATAGTCGAAATGGTCGAAAATCAACTGAATATTACAATACTGTCTTATGGACCGGTTCGGTAATTCAAAGAAACAACATCCGCGGGTAATCTTTCAAAAAACAGCTTTTTTGAATTGTAATAAATCTTGTTCCTTTCAGCGGATATCCGGAATCTGTGCCCAACGAAAAATTGCCGCTTACTCAAGCCGACGGAAACCATGCGCCAGTCGTCGGACAGAAACTTAAACAAAAATCTCGTCTGAAGAAAACGTTTGAAGAACGAAGACCCAGGTCGAACTGAAACTCTCCGTCAGTTCAACGTCAAGGTTGATCACGTCAAAACAAGCAAGTTACAGCTCGCATTCTGATGAGTCGGACAAAAATTTGCCCAAAATGTTTGCATTTTGAGGCAAAAATTGTATTATTATTTACCAAATTGCTAAGTAGCTAGTTTTATAATGTAATCATCAAGTTTAATTATTGATCTCTATTATCTCGTCATAACTATCACTTTTATATGATCTCCAAATCCCCGTTTTCTTTCAATACTGTCATTTCCTCCAAACCGATTGCTCAAAATTATCTGGGTACATAGATGTATACGCTTGGCCCCTGCTCAACCCCAATGTCTTTCAAATGTGATACACCAAAATTCCCCGTTTTCGTCAACTCTCCCATATCCCCCGAAACAAGTTTTATATAATGTAAATGTTTTATCAACCCCCATAAAATAAGATCAAAACGGTTTTTTTGAGTTCCAAAATATTGAAAATGAGAGGTAATGTGTGTTCACTAATAGAGAATCGGACACGGCTTGCTGTCACCCAACTCAGCGGTGCTATTTGGAATTGTGCGCCCACCAGCCGATTTATGTGAAGTTCTCGTTGATGAAATGCTCGAAAGTGTCGCCGAATAATGGACGAGACACGGAGTTCTGGAAAAAAAAAATTCAAAATCGATAGAAAGGAAAACGAAAAAAAAATACTTAGGACACATTCTCTGAGAGAATTGAGATCGGTCCAACAGGCGATGGCAAGGGAAAAAAATCAAAATTGTCCTAGGATTCTGATATTGTATGTGGTGGGTATAGTGGTTACTCTAAGACTTTTGACCATAGTACCCATAGGCCACGCCCCCTCCTGACCGCGAAAAAATACAGTAACCCGGAAAAAGTATTTTAGTTGAAAAAAACAATATCGACTCAAACGTTTTAGTTTTCAGATTCTGGTACTATTATGACTATTTTTGTGGTTCAAACAGTTTTTTACAGTAATCTTGAAGAAGAGAAATTTTCCCTTTTTTCCCTTTTTTGAATTAATTTTCACTTTTTTCGGAAAATTCTCAAAAATTTTCCACTGTTTAGAAACCCAAACCCTAATAGTTTGATACTATAAAAATTCCCACACTATAAAACCATGGTGCCATGACAAAATCGGATACCCTCAAAAGGGTTATTTTCAGAACTGTTTTATTCATTTTCATTATTTTCTATCACAATTCCGGCCCATCGCCTTTCTTCTGGGCTCATCCTAGTCTTATTTACTTGTTTGTTTTCTTCTTTCGCAACCAACATTGCGCGGTTGCCATTTGACCCCTCCTCTCCTGTCCGCAATGTGGCGTCGTTGTGTGTTGCGGACCGCCGTCTTTCGTATTTATTCCTTCCTTCCTCATTTTTTTTCACGCACGCTGTTCATTTTTGTTCGATTTTCTCCGTTGTTTTACCGTATTGATTTACTTCTTTTTCATATCTAAAAATTGAAAACATTTCTTCAGGTAATAACGATGAAATCTTCTCATGAGAATGACGCCAGGAAGCGGAAATACAGCTCAAGCGACGATGAGAGTCGTGAGTCGAGGTTTTCCGTCCGTCCGAACCACAATGTAAGTTTATTCCATGATTTTTCTAGCAAAAGAAAACTATTCCTGCTTTTAGAAACGTCACAACAACGATCACATCAAGGAAAAATTGTCCAGAGATCGCGAAATCGGACGAAACGCCAACACTAGAGACGAACCAAGACATTATAATGTAAGTTTCATACAAAAAGGTCCAGGGCTATTTATTGATTTTTGCAGAGAGACAGACGTGATACCCGTCATGAGGATAGTCGTCGTGCGGAGCGCAAACGTGAAGACAAATCGCGCGGATTCGGAAACGAGTCTCACAGGGATCAAAGTTCCAGGCAGGAATCTCCGTACTCGAAAAGCACTCGCCGTGATCATCGCGGTGATCGTGACAGTCGTGAAAAATCACCATATCCTCGGAAAACTGACAACTCTGAAAACGTCGCCAAAGATCATCACCACCAGGATCATCGTACAAAATCCCCAGTGGACAAAAGAGCCGAAAGAAGTGGATGGGACGCCAAGGACCGTCGGGATCATCGTGGTGGGCGCCGCTACGACAAATCTCGTACGAGTTCCCCAACCAGCAAACGATCCGACGGCTCCAGTAAGCTCAAGACTCCTGATTCGACGACCGACAACCGCAATCGTGACTCCTCAGCAAAATCTCCAAATAGCCAAAGATCCAGAAGCTCCAAAACGTCTTATCGCAAGTCCGAGTCTCCGAAAATTGACGAAGCAGAGAAAACGAAGCGTTACAATTTGAGTGAGTCTTTGAAACAATTAAAATGACTCTAATAATTTTTTCTTGCAGATATGAGCGTCATTGATCGGAGGAATAGCAGAATAGTGAGTGAAATCGAGGAAATTGAAAAGTCGCCGACGCCATTGAGAGACGAAAACGAGGGTATTGCCACGTTCAGTTTTAAAGACGCCTGTGGTCCTGCACCACCGAACAAGGCCTCCATCTGGGAGTCGGACGGCGAAAGTCAAGAGGAGAGTGCCAATGAGGAAAAGTCGAAATCAGGAAGCGGCCAGCATTCGAGCAAACGTGAGACTTCTCCAGATACACCAGATCATATGCTTGATAAGGGTACGTTGAATTTTTTACGGTATTTTTTTGTTAGGAGTCTCAATTCAAGACCATGTTTGTAAAAAAACTGGTGCTTGAAAGCTTTGTTCGTGTTGAATTATCACCCGTGGCAAAACTTTTTTCTAAGTTGTTTGCGAAATTCGCCTCGTAAATCGATACGATACCGGATCCTAATATTTCCAAAGGTCGGCTTGTAAATGACTTTCACTAACCTCTGTAATGAATAAGTTGCTATTTTCAGTTTTTGACTCATCCGACGACGAAACCGAAGACGCCAAGTACGATACCACTCCACCGCCTGAAGAATTGAACGCTATGACGGATGAAGAGAAAACAGTAAGGAGAATTTTTTTTCATTCAAATGAAAATTTTCCATTTCTTCAGAAGTACACATCTGCAATGGAAATGCGCAAACGCCGACGACGCGAGCAGGCGATTTCGAAACTTCCGGTTTACTATCCAGGGCTCCATGGTTGTCAACACATCTCCGAGTACCATATTCTCAACAAAATTGCTGCTGGAACCTATGGAGAAGTATTTCGTGGCAAGCACACGCGTACCGATGAGATTGTAGCACTGAAGAGATTCAAAATGGAGAATGAAGAGGAAGGATTCCCGATCACTTCACTTCGTGAGATCAATATGCTTTTGAAGGCTGGTGATCATGAGAATGTGGTTAACGTCAAGGAAGTCTTGCTTGGCCGAACAGTTTCCGAAGTTTATATGGCAATGGAATACATAGAAAATGATGTTAAGAACTGGATTGACAAGTTGAAGCACAAAGGCAAGCGTTTCCGTACTGGACATACAAAGAATCTCGTTCGCCAGTTGCTCCGAGGAATGTCTCATCTCCATGATCTCTGGATTCTTCACCGCGATCTAAAGACTGCGAATATTTTGATTTCAAGCTCTGGAGTTTTGAAAATTGCCGATTTCGGATTAGCTCGCGAGTATGGTGAAGCCAACGACATCGAAACGCGAATGAAATTGACAGAAGTCGTTGTCACTCTCTGGTACAGATCCCCAGAGTTGCTTCTCCAGCCAAAAACCTATTCTGCTCCTGTTGACATGTGGTCTGTCGGTTGCATAATGGCCGAATTCATCCTTATGGATCAACTTTTCAAAGGTTGCGATGAGCCAAACCAAGTGGATCTCATCTTCCGAATGATGGGTACTCCCAGTGAAAAGACATGGCCGGCTATCAACAAGCTGCGCATTTGGCAAACTGTCAATTTTCCAGTTTTCAAGCCAGGAGAGTTGAGAAGAAAGTTCTTGAAGGCGAAATTGTTGGATGAAAGTGGATTTGATCTTCTCAACGGGCGAGTCAAAGAGTCATCAAAATATTTAAAAAAAAATTGTAAAATTTATTTCAGACTACTGAAGTTGGATCCCAGTCAACGTCTAACTGCCGCCGAGGCATTGGAACATCCGTGGTTCAAGTAAGTTGTATTTGCTCGCTGGCAGCGGCTGTCGTCCTCTGTGCAATAGTTGACCAGTCGGTTTTTGAATTATTTTTTATAATAGATGCCCAGGGCGCTCGAAAGCTAGCAAACCTTTGCCTAGCTTAGGCCCAAACAAAGCTTCCACCAAAATCGGCATTCAAAAACCAAATATCGTCTGAAAAGCACCTAAAGTTTGGGGAAAATACGGTGGTCACTGTTTTGTCTAAAAACGATATTGGAGCCCAAGGAGATTTTGACTGCTGCTTGGGTAGCTTTAGGAAAAAAAAAATTAAGCAAAATCTGGCCAGCTGATGCCCGGAAAACGGCAGTCGCAATCGATTTTCAAAAGATACAGTACCGTTCAATGAGATGTACAAAAACGTATTTTTCAGCTGACTTTCGGTCTTTTTGACCATTTTCAGGTCTGGCGCTCGGCTGTCAATTTTCCTGACACTTTGAAAATTTCAGAGAGTGTGAAACATACAAAAATTCAAAACTTTGCATTCACAGAACTTTTTAAGAATTCTCAGTTTTTCAGCTATGTTCCGATATTTGAGAGACATCTGTTTTTTCACGATTTCAGAACGAATATAGGCCAAAACGAGGTGCCTTTCGGAAATTAGCGAATAGCTGGAAATTCAGGGATTCTCAAAAATTATGTAAATGTAAAGTTCTCAATCTAGATCTGTTTTACACCTTCAAAATTTTTAAAGTGCTCGGAAACGTGACAGCCGAGCTCCAGACTCCTGAGAATGGTCGAAATATCCGGATATCATTTGATAAATAAGTTTTTTGTATATCTATTCAACTGAATATGTATGCTCAAAACACGACAGCCTGTGCCAAGCTTTTGAAAAATAGCTTCCTTAACATTCAACTAATTTTATTCCTTTCAGTGAATACCCGGAATGTGTGCCCAACAAAAACTTGCCACTTATTCAAGCCGACGGGAACCTTGCACCAGCAGCCGGACATGAAGCTAATCATAAATCTCGTCTGGAAAAACTTTTGGAAAACGAAGACCCTGAACGTGCTGAACTTCTCCGCCAATTCAACGTCAAGGCTGATCAAGTCAAGGCAAGCAATTTCCAGCTAAAGTTTTGATTGTTTCAGACTGAAATTTGCCAATTTTTTTTGCATTTTTAGGCAATTATTATGTTATCTGTTAAATGGTTAACAAGGGAACCTTTTAAGTGAAGGTAGGAGTTAGCAGAAACCACCTACAAAGATCGAAAGAGCAAAGTCGAAAACCTCTAAATCCGTTTTGAAAGTCTGCTTACGAGACCTTTGAAGTGCTGAAATTTCAGTTTCAGTGCCAAAAATCCCATTTGCAGTGAAATATCGGCAATTTTCAAATTTGATTTTCTCCACTCCTAGGAGGTTTTAGGACTTGAAACTTTTTGTGTAATACTCAAAGCTATGTGAAATTTCATATTTCGACCATTTTCTGAAAAAAAAGTAATTTCGGAAAAGTTTTGGAAAGTTTCAAAATTTGCCTAGATTTTCGCTGGGCCCAAAAAAAGTTTTTTTTGGAAAATGTAGAAAATGTCTGAAATATGAAATTTCGCATAGTTTTGAGTATTACACAAAAGGTTTCAAGTCTCAAAATCTCCTAGGAGTGGAGAAAATCGGTTTGGAAAATTGCCGATTTTACACTGAAAATGGGATTTTTGGCACTGAAACTGAAATTTCAGCACTTCAAAGGTCTCGTAAGCAGACTTTGAAAACGGATTTACAGGTTTTCGGCTATGCTCTTTCGATCTATGTAAGTGGTTTCTGCTAACTCCTACCTTCACTTAAAATGTTCCCTTGTAAGTAGCTAGTTTTATATTGTAATTATCAAGTTTAATTATTGATATCTCTTTCGCTTCTCATAACTATCACTGTCATATGATCTCCAAATCCCCCGCATTCTTTCAATATTGCCATTTCCCCTGAATCAGTTGCTCAAAAGTCATTTGTGTATACAATCGCTCCGCCCCTATCGGTACCATATAGGCCCCCAACGTGCCACCCCATGCCTTTTAAATGTGATAAAACGCAAACTCTCCGTTTTTCCAACTCTCATATCCCCCAAATCCAGTTTCATGTAATGTAAATGTTTTATCGACCCCCATAAATCAAGATCAAAACTGTTTTAATTGAGTTCAAAATATTCAAAATGAAAGACGAAATGTGTTCACTGATAGAGAATCGGACACAGCTCGCTGTCACTCAATTCCGCGGTGCTGTTCTGAATTGTGCGCGCCCACCAGGCGATTTGTGTGAAGTTCTCGTTGATAAAGTGTTCGAAAGTGTCGCCGGATAACGGACGAGCCACGGAATTCTAGAATACATTTAAGAATTGAGAAAAAGAGAACGAAAGAAAAACTTACAATTGCGAGTGGTGTCCGATTATCGAACATGGCTGGAGAGTTGATCAGAATTACCCATGTGCCCACAACATTCATAATGGAAAAAATAATGAGGAAAATGCGATCGATAACATTTGCTACGTACGACCAGTCTTCTGAGATCTGCAAAACTCACATCATTATTACTTTTTTTTAGAATGATCCGTTCTAGAAGTGATATATAGTTCCGGTTGATATGATGTTGAAAAACGTATTTTCAGTTGATTTTCGGCCATTTTGATTATTTTCAAGAGTCTGGAGTTTGGCTGTCAAGTTTCCAGCCATTTTAAAAATTTCGGAGAGAGTAAAACATGCATAGTTTGAAAACTTGGGATTTTAAAATTTTTTCGAGAATTTATAGTTTTTCAGCTATTGACCGATTTCTGAAAACGACCGGTTTTCTCGTCTTTTCAGTACAAAAACAGACCGAAAAGGAGTGTTTTTTCGGAAATAGCTGAAAAACTAAATATTTTACAAAAATGCTGTAAATGCAAAGTTCAAAATCTAAGTTTATTTGACACCCTCCAATATTTTCGAAGTGATCGAAAACTTGACAAGCGAGCTCCAGACTCCTGGAAGTGGTCAAAATGATCTGTACCGGTACTGCACATGAATCTGTTTTCTAAAGTCCTTACCTTGTCTTCTTTTTTCAAAGAATTAAAGTATTCCGCAATAAACTCTACATTTTGAATCATATTTCTGATGAGATCCGGATGCATCCCTTTCTTCTTTAACTCTGACAGCCTTCCATTCAGCTGCCGCTCATTAACAGTAATGAAAAATGGAGATGGCCTCCTCGAGTCCATAAACGGACCAATATCTGAAACTAAAATTTCTTCGGCTCCTAAAAATTTTGCACGCATTACCAGATATGCTAGACCCTCGATCACTTCCATCGTCTTCATCAGCGGTTTTAATGCAAATGTACTTTGGAAGTGTATGAATAAAAACCACTTTCATCCAGTGTGGCATTGGGAATGAAGAACCATCCCTTCGATAAAAGTTCAAAGAGATGACAGAGAGCATAATTGAAATTGAAACTAAGAACATGGTGAATAACAAATATTTTCCTGAAAATCCAAATAAAGATTTCTTTTAGAGACTCCGAGTTACCAATAAGTGGAATAACCAGTGACGTAGGTGGGACGAGATCAATTAAAATAAGGTAGAATACAGTAAGTGTGACGAGAATCGAAATGGAGAATGTCATTTTGTGCTCGATGGGCGGAACGTAGAATACGATTGATGTTAGAATAGCGAACATCATACACGGAATCATCAGATTGACAGTGTAGAATAGCGTTTTCCGTCGAATTTCAATTTTAAACGTGATATCGATATAGAAATCTTGACCACAACATCCGGCGTAAATCTTTTCGTGTCGTGCTGAATTCAACTCCATCAGATCCCATTCCAAACTTCTGCAAATTAAAAACAAAAGTTGTTGTTACAAAACGAGACACTCACGGATAGTAACCACTCAAATCCATTCCTCGGCCTAGAAATTGAAATTCTCCTTCATCATCCGCTTTGTTCACTACTTCGCATCCAGTTGTCTATAAATATAGGGGTTTATGATGAGATGAACAAATTTTTGGAATAAGAATATGGAGATTTCAAAAACAAATTTCGTTATTTTTTTCACTGGGAGACACTGTGAAACCGGTGAGACAAAAACAACTTTGAGCCAATTTATCCGGGTACCTGTCAAAGCTTTGAAAAAGTTGTTAACTGATAAATTGTTTATCATAACATCACAAAAGTTTTATCAATTCACAAAATTTTGATATCTTGCAAAGGAATCGAGATAAATTGGTTCTAAATTGAAATTCAGGCGGTCCCTTCTGTCACAGATTTCACAGTGATCAATTTTGAAGTCATGAAAAAGAACTCCAGAGTTTTCCAATTCGTCTGAAAGTTTTAGAGTATTCTAAACAAAACTATAGCTTCCATTTTCTAACTATGAACATATTTTGCGAAATGCACGAATGGAGATATGCGGTCAAATAGTTTTTCAATGCTCATTTCAGCATTTCTGGCATTTTTGGCATCTCTATTGAGTACAACCAGCATGTATCCTTACTTAGAATGAAACTTGGCGAAAAGTTGTCAATCGCCAAAATAAAGCTGTACTTGTATTCAGTATGTTCTAATCTTATCAGAGCAATGGAGATATTCTGTAACACGTTTTCAGGTCTTTGAACTTGAATACTGTATTTTCCCTAAAACAAGCCAACTACACCGTCCACTCTATGCTTTATTATCTCAATTCCTATAAAAGATAGCAAAAAATTGCCAACTAACACATTTTTGTTCGTAATATCGCAAACATTCCATCAGTTGACAAGTCTTTGAAATCTTTACAGAAATCGAGATATTTGAGCTCAAAGCTGACAATCAGGAGGTTCATTCGAGGTTTTCCAGTGGCTCAGTTCTTATATCAGTATTAATTTAGGCATTTTCAGCATTTTTTGATCAAAAATCCATATCTTATCAGAAATACTCTTGACAATAAAGTTGTCGGTTACCAAAACAAAGCTCTACTTTAGTTTAATAAATTCTGAATGGAACCCCATTCTAGACTTGCATTTCGAGATCAAACAGCTTAATTTCTTCAAGAGATATCAAATATTTTCCGATTGACAAATTATCGTTTGTGATGTCACCAATATTTTAACGGTTGACAAGTTTTTGATGTCTTTTACAAGAATCAAAATAATGAAACTCACGCATAGGGTGAGTTTCTATAATGGCATTCATTGCACTTTTCTCAGGTACTTTGAATTTTTTGGTCTTCTCCTCTTTTTATTTTCAAACCCTCATATCTTACAGGAAGCTGTCTGACGTCCAACAAGAATCCGTTGTAAGTCCAACCACCAAACTTCATCCGACATGTCTGTGTATCATAGGGAAAGTACTCAATGTCGATCGAGCAAAAACTTTTATAAATCGACGGCGGCTTCCATACCTGTTGCAAAAAATGGCGGTTTTATCAAGAGAATTTTGTATCACAATTTATCATCATCATCCTCAGCAATTGCAACATAAATTTTCGAGCGCGACATTTGTTCAATCGAAAAAGAAGCGGAAGTGGGGCAGCAGCAGCAAGTGAATTTGAAAGCAATAAGAGAAGGAAAAAAGTGATGATGATGGTGACATCGAATTACAAACGTTTTGATGATGGGGGATAAGGGAGGGAAAACACGAGTAAAACATACCACTAATCCGTTGTAATAAACTATCGCATCGCTCATGATTGTGATGTGGGGCTCTCCGTCGGCGCTGGAATTTTCAGATTAGTTTTTAATTTGAAAACGATGAGAAGTCAAGAAAAAAACGTGTTTGAAAAGAAGCTTTTACCGGAACTTCAAAAAACGAAAAAATAATAGAAGCTCGCCACATGCGAGAACTTTGAGAATAATTATCTCGGTTCCTTTGAAAGGTATGAAAAAGTTGTCCACTTTTCTCGACAATTTTTTTGATATCTCCTATGAGAACCGAGATAATTGAGATCAAAGTGTGCGTACAGGGTGGGTTTCTATTAGAGCATTTACAGTTTTCTGCAGCTACCGTGAAGAATATCTTACTTATTGTATAACAGAATATCAGGAATCCAAATCTGATCCACTGGAACATGCAACTTTCGAATCTTTCCCCATCGTCCTGGATCCCACATCAATCGATAATCAAACCATTGCATCTCCAACCAAAGGTTCGTCGTCAGAACCTGATTCACCTCGTCCTGAAAACCTTTATAGTTGCTCTTAAAATCCTCCTCGTAGTTTTCATCCATAAACTTGAACGAGCTCATTAGTGTTGTGTTTGGCTGGCACTGCCAACTCGTAAGATGAGCTCTTTTTTATTTTAAAGTGTGAGAAAACCGAACGTGTTTGGTTGTACGTAACGGAGAAGGTGATAAAAATATTAGGGAATAGTTTTTTTTTTGAGAGTGGAAATACTATTTTATTTTTTTAAAGACTCACCACATCAATAATTCTGATCAGCGAGGAACCAAATTTGACTTTCACGCTTTCACTCGCATTCTTAACAGGTCTCACGTTTTTGTTGTAATAGTACAAGAGATCTTCATACATTTGGTCCGCATATCGATTTGGATTTACATAGAAAAACAGTCCGGCTAAAATGCATGATAGAAATCTCAATTATAGATTGTTCACCTACCGTATACCAAAATCCTGAGCAAAAACCGGAAGTTCATGGTATTGTCGGTTTCATCGCGTGCCGAGTTGAGTTGGATGGCGTTTCAGGCGTTTCAACTCTTTGATTTTCCCTATATCAGATATTGTTTTTAGACGAAAGGAAAATTGGATAACGATTGGCCGGAGAAAAGAGTGGAAAAGATTGATAGTGTTAATCACTCTTAAGATAACATTGCCACTTTTCTTGCTAACAAATGTCAACGAGAGGAAAAAGAGACAAAGTTTTGGAGAAGGTAGAAGCACTCGGTACACGGTGTAACCAGAAAAAAATTTTTTTTTTCGAAATTTGAGAGAACGGAGGAGAGAACAAAAATTGTGAAAAGAGAGAATCCAATTGGATGTCCAGGAACAAGACAATTCTTTTCGAATCTTTCCCCATCTAAAATGAAATTTGGGTTTTCAATAAGAAATTATTTTATAATAATTTACCAAATTACTGTGAACGCTCACTATTCTGATGACAAGGTAGTCTCTATTTACCTTATATGATTTTTTCCGTACTTCGAGCTCAATTATCACAACACCTAGGATTGAAATAAAATTTATCAACTGATAAATTTTTTTAAATCATAATAATACAAATATTTCATCAAATACTTGATATCTTTCATCGAAATGGAGATAATTGAGCTCAAAGTGCAAGTATAAAGTGCCATTTTATCATTTTGGTATGGGAAAATCGGAGCTGTAGAAGAGAAATGCTCGTCGCCGTGGCCGAAGGTCCCACATCGACTACCGTAAGATGAAAATATGTCAATTTTCAGTACTCATTTTTCCGTTTCTCACAGTTTTTCGTTGAGTTTCTTTTCTTTATTCTCCAAACAAATCGGTAAAATTTTTTGATAGTGAAAAATTGACCAAGAACGCACGAAAGTCGAGATAATAAATTCGGTAAATTTTTAGATTACAGTAGTACGGCCACAGACATTTCTCTTTCGCACCTCCTATTTTTCAATATCAGAATAATAAAATATCATTTCATATTTGCACTGTGAGCTCAATTATCTCGATTACGGTGAAATATATTGAATATTTGTCCACTGATAAAACATTGAGGATATTATGATAAATAATTCATTAGTTGATATGTTTTTAATTTCATTTCTTGGAAACGAGATAATTGAGTTTCAAGTACAGAAAGAGCGTAGTTTAAAGCCAATGTCGTTCTTGAAATTTGACTTTTTTATTACCGTTCAAACGCTTCAATCATTTTCTAAACGTTGAACGCAAAACAATTGAAAAAAAATATTGTAAATTTTTGAGCTTACATGATAATTGAAACAATCGAGCTCAAAGTTGACAGTTTAGGGGTCAAGCTCTACGGCTTCTCAAAGGTGTAATTGAGAATTTGATTAAAGTTAAATTTCCAAACATCACAGACTATAATAATTGAATTGAAGACCGGTAACTCTGATTAAAATAAAATAGCTTTGAGATACATAAAAAAGTTTGTCGGGATTAAGTTGGAACAGTTATAAAAGTTAGTTGGAAAAATTAGTTGGATTACTTTAAAAAATGACTTTTTCACTTTTAGAATTCTTCCCTACATATGATTTTGTGACGCCAAGAATGGAAAGCATAGATTAAATTTCTCTAGATTACTGAAAACATTAAATTTAATTAAAGTTCAAAAAATTTTAATAGGTCTCCGGGAAAAAAACTAAAATTGTTTAGATGAGCAATGTGTGAAATGAGTGCCACAGAAAGAGATAGAGCACAAGCATAATGACAAGAGAAGGGGCACCACGGTGGGAGTAGAAGGAAGAGGGATGATTGTAATGTGTGGAGTCTCGGCGCCCCTCAATCTGCCCAACGCCGATCATAGTCGTCGATCGCGCTGGTGTTGGTGGCGGCGGTGGCTCCTGGAGAAGAGATGGAGAACCCAGGGATTCCTTCGATTGAGTGCTGATGCTGGTGGCTGCCAGTGGCACCTATTGTTCATTGTGGACTCGTACTCTCCCCACCTTTTTGTCTGTGTCGTCGTCTCACAACAAAAACATACACACACTCTATGGAATCTCTCAATATCACCAGTTGCGTTGAGCATGTGTCTGTGTATCTTTAATTCGACGTGTGATAGAGGATTTGATAAGAAGATATACCGGAGAAAGAAAGAGGACACAAAAGTGATGGATCAGTTGGATGGATCTATCGATTTTATGTGGACTTTTGAGAGAAGAGCTGTCAAATGTTTTTGTGGAGTTTCATGTGTGAAAAAAAGTTGGGGTGGCAGGGGTGCCAAACTGCAACGTGTGTCTGGTTTCTGATCTTGTCAATTAGAGATAGTAAGTCATCAATCATCATTTTGTGGTTGGAAGATTTATGAAAAAAGAAAGTAAAAAACAATTGACACAAAAAATCGGAAAAGGATAAAAAACTGATTCAAAACACCCGAGTTGAGATTTTGTAAATTTTCTAATAGAACGCCTTCAAGCTTTGTTATCAGGTATTCTAGAAGAGATATCAAAAATCTGTCGACTGATAAAATTTTCACAATAATATCACCAATTATTTATGAGTTGACAAAAACTTGATGTCTCTCACCGAAACTCAAATACCGTGTGCACTCTAATAGAATGATCCACTTAACTTTTATCTTTTCGCACATTTATCTCGATTGCTGTGAAATATATTGAAAAGTTGTCAATGGAGAAAATATTTCAAATATTATGATAAACATTTTGCTAGTTGATCACTTCTTGATAACTTTCACAGAAAATGAGAAATATGATTTCAAAGTTTACGTTTCCGGGGCATTCTATTAGAGTTTTCAAGGTAATCGTAAGATGACGTTTAATTAAAGTATTTACGTTAGGTTACTCCACAAAAATGGAAAATCAAATTAGTTAAAAATTCTTCCCCATTTAGAGATCACAAAGAGAAATATAATAAGAAACATTTCAAATAAATAAGCAAGCTTTGAAAAAGGGTACACACAAGAGATGAGCTAATCCTCTTTTCTTTCCTCTCCAACAAGTCACTAAAAGATTTTCGAGCAACTCTGTGAATCAGTGAACTGGAATAGAAAAGGAGAGTAGATGGAGTAACCGCTTTTCTGTTGTGAGTAAAATTAATTAGTACAGAGAGCAGCAGGAAAATGAGGAAGTTTCGAAGAGGTATTGACAAAAATATCCCATTGGGCATGTTGAGGCAGATGGGCGGCATTGTAAGTGGCGAATTGCATAGGGACAGAAGCTATCTGCAAATTGTGAAAGTTGGATTTTTTAGCAATGTGAGAACTTTGAATTTCAAACTTGTTTACACAAAAATTTCGCGCATTAATATTGAAAATGGTGTGTGTTCTGAGATTTAATCAATAAGTATAATAGTTTTAGAAAAATTTGAATCTAGCAATTCTTAAACCAAACTCTAATATTTACTCAGACGTGTTCGGAAAGGTTTTTTCGGAATGTCGAAAGTTTCGGCTTCAAACATCTCAAAATTTCAGAATCCCGGAATATTCCGATTTTTGAAATTTCGAGATTCCGCAGGCTCAGTGTTCCACTTTCCCAGCACAGAAGCCAAAAAAATTGCAAACGGATTTTGAAAACGCAAAAAATACTAAACGCTCGAGGCCAGCAAGTAAATCCTCCGCGTGCGCCTTTGTCATACCGTAGTTCAAAAAGCTCTAGATCCAAAAAAAAAAGCTTCGGAAATATTGCGTTTCACATTCCGAATTTTTTCTCGGAATTGTTACGAAAATACTTGGGGTTTTGAAACTCCGAGTTCCGTTTTGAACATCCCTGAACCCTTACCTGCTGTTTTGTACCTAAGCATTCTAGGCGTTGAAGTCACAAAATACACAAAAGAAGGTGTCGGCGTAGTTTTTGGCATTTGACAGCAAACTTGTCTTCCCGCCAAATCCATATAGGCATCAACGCACGTTGAATTATCTGTAAGGAAACTTGAATTTTCTAACCCAGTTCTCAGAAATACCTGGACACTCAAAACTATATCCCTCGGCTGGTGTGCATTCGACATTAATTTGAGTGTTCGCATAGAAAACCGAAGTCGCTCTTGGTGGACACGTCGCCGGTTTGTAATTCGAGACGACGCCATAGGTGGATGTTGATTTTGTTACTTTTTGGTATGGCTTGGCAGGTTTTTGATGGCCTGAACTTTAACTTGGGTCAAAGGTTGAAACGAGTAAAACACAGAACTTGTGACAATTGACGACACGCGAGATGATGGCCCAATGAGTCCCTCATTGTGAATGAGGAAGTGTTGGTCTTCGGATTCTCTGGATGATGAAGAGCGAGGTGGAGTACGGTAGCTGATTTTTGGAACTGTACAACAGAATCCAATCAAGGATCCGGATTGAGAACTTTGGCATGAGTAACCGATACTAAAATCTTGTGTAGTTGTAAACCTCCCCCTTAATCATTTTCTAGCTTACTTGCACTGTGTAACTCCTACCGTACACCTCACGGGAGTTTTACTCATAAAATCTAAATAAGATTCTGTTCCATCTGGACATGCTGCTTCGATATGTACACTACAACAGAATCCCCAATGGGCTCCAGGGACTGCTGGAGAGCAATAGTAGGTTTCTGGACATGATGATGTTTCTAACGGGTTGCACTTCATGCTGTGTTTAGAGACAATGTGGTTGTATGGCTGTTGTCCAGCAGGGCAGATAGCTGAAAGAAGTTTTAAAACATTGTTGATTTCTAGGAGGTCCTCTGAGCTCAACAATTTCTATTTCTGCAAGAGATATCAAAAATACGTAAACTACAAAAATGTTTGTAATATTAATGTTAACATTTTATCAATTGACAGATGTTTGATACCTTTTATAGAAATCAAGATATTTGAGCTAAAAAGGACAAAGTTATGTTAGAGAATGTAAGCATTACCATCATGAGGAGAGCAACAAAAGCTATGTAGTCCTTGTGTAGTACACACATAATCAGTTGGACACGAATCCCGGTATGCTGATGGATTACATCTCATCGGCTGATTGGATTGAACTTGTGCAAACGAGACGGTTCCGATTGGACAAACACCTTGAAAAATGAGGAAATCTTGGTAAAAGCTCAAGAATCCTTACCCGTGGGAGAGTGACCACAGCAGACATGACGATTGAAGAGTTTGTCATAGACACATCGGTATCCGCTGGGACATCCGGACGCGCGACAATTGACTGGGGAACTGTCACGAGCGAGTAACAGAGACTGTCCGGCTAGACATGCGGTCGACTGACAAAAGCGGGTACACAATTCGTAGGTTTCGAATTGATTCTGGTTTTTGGCATTGCAGTTGATGACTTTGAATTTTTTGCATCTATAAAGTGATAGGGGAAATAAAGAAGGAATCTCAAAAACAAATTAGAAATAATATTTCGAGAAACAGCGAATATGCTCTGTTTTTTTCGTTTTTTTTAACTCCGGAGAGGTACAGTACCGGATAAATACAATACAAAAAAACGAATTTCAGCCATTTTAATAATTTATCGGAGTTTGTAGCTGTCGAGCTTCCGATCACTTTGAAAATCTTGGAGTGTGTCAAACAGGCCTAGACTAGAAATATTGAATTCTCTTTTTTTTAATTTCTAGTTTTGCAGCTATTTTTTTTTATTTTTTAAAACACCTGGTTTTTTGAAACATTTCCAATAAAATACTGGCCGAAGGGGAGGGGGTGTTTCTCAAAAATTAGCAAAGCAGAAAAACTAGGAGTTTTCAAAAAATTCTGTGAATGAAAAGGTTTTGATCTAGGTCCGTCTTACACCCTCCGAAATTTTCAAGGTGATCGAAAACCTGGCATCTGAACTTCAGACTACTAAAAATGGTAAAAATGACTGAAAATCAACTTTTAAAAAAGTTTTAGTATATTTTCTTGACCCGGTACTATATAAAAATGGTCAAAGAATATTTAGACATGATTCACTCACTTCAAGTCCATGGGATCAAAATAAAACATGGTTCGGGGCTCCTCAAAACAATCACCGTACCCTGGATTTGGTGGCATTGAACATATTGACTCTGTCAATATTTATTGATTTAAAATTAATAACTTCCTGAAAATACCCCTTATTTGGCAGCAATAGTTGACTTGTTTCGAAAAATGATGATGTCCAGATGGGACACATTTCCAACCGGCACTACAGTCGTCCGTGTTCTCGCACCATTTGGTGACTCCAGTTTTGGACTTTTCAGCTACAGTGCCATCAATACAAAATTCTGAAAAAAACACCGGTCAGATTTAAAATAGTCAAAACTTAGTGATACCTGACGATCCACCATATCTCTCACACTGGCAAAAGTTCCAAAAGATAGAAAACCACAAAAATAACCTCATGGAGAACAAAAATACAATGAATAGCTTGATATGATGAGGATTATGGTAGAAGTAGGCAATGAGTAAAAATCTGGGAGGGTGGCGAGATTTGAAGAACTAAAATACACAAACAAGCGGCACAGGAGCACTTAAGGCAAAAACAGAGGGTCTGTGTGTGAGAATACCTTTTCTTATTTATAATAGCACACCGATTTTACATTATCGAAAACGCACGGTGTACAAATAACCGCCTAAGCTCCTGCATGAAACCCTCCCGTGAAGATATATTGGTCAGAGAGTTCATGCGGGGCATGTGAATAAAAATTTGGTATTAAAGTATATAAAGTTTTTGGAGCATCGCATAGAGTAGAAGTTGTTTTTTATTTTAATTTAAAAAAACCAAAATTTTTTAAAGAAAAAACATAATGTAGTACAGTAAACTGATATGAATCATCTGGCTCTAGTATGAAATTCCGGTTTTTAAATTACTTCTGGTCTTCTAAAAAATTGTAATCCTTGAGAAAATTCTAGCATCTAAACTTTGATTTATTAAACATTTAAAAGTCATGAACACTTTTAAAAACATAAATGTTTTTAAGAACCAGAATTTTTGAAGGTCATCGATTTTTCAAATGACCGGTATTTCAAGCTACAACCAATCAATTTTACTAACATGGAATGACTCCCAAGTGTTACCCTCGAATAAAATCGAGACCTATATGGTTGGATAGAGCGTAAAAAGTTAGTTTAGATTCCAAACGGAATAGTTAATAAAAATTTTTTTTTGGGAGTTATGGTCCAAAAAGTACCAAAAAATGCCTAAATTTTCAAAACAATCATAACTTTGTCAGTTTATGTCCGTTTTTTGAAATTAAAAAAACAGTAGATAGACAATTATTTGAACATTTGAGAATAAAATTTTTTAGTTTTTTTCCTATTGATTGGATTATTGATTTTTTTAAAAAATCAAAAAATTTTTCAATATCTCAAAAATCCTAGGTCAACTTTTTTTTCATTATGACCATTGAATTCAGCACATTTGATTTACTATAGATACATATCAATACCCCGGGGGAAATCATGCTCACACAAGTTATGGCGAAAAATATCGATTTTTGGCACTTGGCTTCTTTGAATTCGTTGTCCTCGGCGGCCGGTATGGTGAGGGGCATACTTGTTTTTGTGATTTTTACTTGCGTATGGTTTGCCTAAAATGTTTGAAATAGAATCCTGCGACATACACAGGATTTAAAAATTAGTCCCTAAAAATGAAAATATTCACTGATGATGGGACACCTTTTGTTTTTGATCATAACTCGAGAACGATAAGATTTTGTCATTTTAATCATGTTTAAACAAAAGTTTGACTGTTTCCATCATGATTAACTATAGATGTGCCCTGTCACATGTCACACTTCACCAAAAATAGGGGTCAGGCTCGGAAAACCGTAAATATTTTTGATTCTAGGGCCTAAATCGAAATTCTGTTCAAGCCGTTGATAAGATTTCATTCTTTTGATTATGTTAAAACATTGGCAGTTTCTATCAAGTTTAACTATAGATGTGTCCTGTCACATGTCAAAATTTTGATTTTTTCAAGATGATGATTTTAAGAAATGGTACGGCATTTGAGAAATTGACTTTGTATGTCGCAGGATTCTATTTCAAACACTCTAAGCAAACGATATGCAAGTAAAAATCACGAAAACAAGTATGCCCCTCACCATACCGGCCGCCGAGGACAACGAATTCAAAGAAGCCAAGTGCCAAAAATCGATATTTTTCGCCATAACTTGTGTGAGCATGAATTCCCCCGCGGTATTGATATGTATCTATAGTAAATCAAATGTGCTGAATTCAATGGTCATAACGAAAAAAAAAGTTAACCTAGGATTTTTGAGATATTGAAAATTTTTTTGATTAAAAAAAAATCAATATTCCAATCAATAGGAGAAAAATTAAAAAATATATTCTCAAATGTTCAATTAATTGTCTATCTACTGTTTTTTAAATTTCAAAAAACGGACAAAAACTGACAAAGTTATGATTTTTTGAAAATTTAGGCATTTTTTGGAACTTTTTGGACCATAACTCCCAAAAAAAATTTTTACCAACTATTCCGTTTGGAATCAAAAATAACTTTTTACGCTCTATCCAACCATATAGGTCTCGATTTTTTTCGAGGGTAACACTTGGGAGTCATTCCATGTAAGTGCTCCTTTGAAACCTAATTCAATTACTCTGACCCCCAAAATCCTCTATTCCTCCGGTTTCGCTATTTTGAACTATGAGTGTTTTTACATCTCGACAAAATTCCTATGATAACTCTCATAGTCTCAGAAGAACAAAAGGATTCAGAAGACGTCAAGATGGTCCCTACCGGAACGAAGAACTTTATAACTTTGGTAAGAGCATTTTCCCCTACCTCTTTTCAAAAAGTTTAAACAAGTCTTCCCATCAAAAATTACTTTGCGTAATTACATGAGTCATGAAATACTTTACTGAAGCTCGCCTATTTTGCCCCAAAAGTCAGCGCATAATGTAACAAAATACTTTTTGGTCCCCCCCCCCCCAGTCCCCTTTTTCCCCCTACTAAAAACTTTCTGTCAGTGTCAGTCAGCCGCTTAGTAGCTTCCATCCCCACTCTTCAACTTCCAAAATAGATTCGCTAAAACCATCGCTGAAATTTCTATTCAAAATGACTATAACAGCATCGAACACGCTGGAGTTCAAATGGACGTCTCCAAGAAGTTCACGCTCCAGTTTTCGTAAGTTGAAGGAGAGGAGAAATTGACGGATTTGTGAGGAATTTCAGGAACAACAACCGATGCAGACCAGAAAATTTCCATAGACATGAGCAACACATATTGTGATCAGGTCAGTTTCAGATCACATGGCATCACTTAAAGAAAATGTGAAGAAACTTTACTTAGATACGATTTATCTCGGTTACTGCAAAAGATAGCCAAAACTTGTCAACTGAAAAAATTGGTCCCATTATTATAAAAAAAATTTCTGTGAACAAACTTTTGATATCTTTAACAGAAGTCGAGATATCTCAAAGTTGACGGTTCGGTAGGCATTCCATTTGAGTGCTCACGGTAGAGACATCCGAAAATTTTTCGGCTGATCATTTTTTGATGTCAATCTCAAACTTCAAGGTGTATATTTATCCAGGTACTCGGACCATTGTACTCTTACATGATGGTCCTCGGATTAAACCATACGCACAGTAGCGCTCGAAACACAATGTTCAAATGGCCGCTCACGATTTATAATTATGCAACATTGGCAGTATTGGTGAGTTATTCTCGCTACCTTTGATCTCCTATAATTGTCTAATTCTTTTGAATCACGTGTTCCTGTAATCCAAACCTCTTTGTAACAAACGTCCTCCTAAAATGGAGAACATTATTCCTTTTCTTCTTCTTCCAGACAGCCGCCACCATCCGACGCATTTCGCAAATCAAACAAAAGTCGTCAGCGACGAGCGAGGAAAAAGACGCTGCGTTCCATGTTCTCAATCCGACGTTTGTGCTCACACTGTGTCATGCGTTGCTCATGTTCAGGTTTGCCGAACAGTAGGGGATTCAAAACACAATACCAAATAAAGCGCGCGCGTGAAATGTAACCGAGTGGTTTAAAGGTGTTTAGGGTTTCGTGTGCTTAAGTAACATCACAAAGACCAAACATTACTGTAGTTGAGGAAATGTAGATTGGTTTCAGAAGATCTGATTGCATTTAAAAAGTCCAGTGATAGAAAATAAGGGGTTGGTTATTTGAACTTTAACTATTAGGTTGGGCGGAAAGCAACTGTCCATTTTTTGATTCGTGAATAACACAAAAGCAAGAGTTATCCAAGATTGACAGTATGCACCGTCGCGGTCCACGACATGTTGACAACATTCAGGCAACTTGTGGATACCATACCTTCAAAAGCCAGCTGGCTGCGACACAAAGTATTTTTTGATTCCAGATTTTATCTCAACTTCAGTGTTAAATTATTTTCCTCCAGATGACGTTGCATATCTCCTAATAATCAATAATAAAAGGGCCGAATCAGGAGTTAGAAGTGCGTAAAGGAGGAACGTCCAGCTAAAGAGACCCAGGTCTTACTTGACTTACCGTGGAACATAGATTCTCGAGTTATTTAATGAAACTCAATTCAGTCCTAAGACGCTTTCGATGGACGGCTCTTCACTTTCCTTAAACTCCAGACTTGACCCATTTATTATTGGCTATTCGGAGATATTCAACGTCATCTGGGGGAAAATAATTTTACACTGTCGATGAGAAAAAAACGTCCGGGAAGGTATACTTTGATACACGGCCAGCTGGCTTTTGGAGGTATGGTATCCACAAGTTGCCTGAATGTTGTCAACATGTCGTGGACCACGACGGTGCATCCTGTCAATCTTGGATCGTTCTTGTTTTTGTGTTAATCACGAATAAAAAAAATGGATAGTTACTTTCCGGCCAACCTAATACGTTAGCTAACGTATTTGCTCCAGTAGAAGCCCACACTATACGTAAATTTCGGGCTCATAAATATCGGTTTCTGCGATAGATATCGAAAAACACATTCTCGCCGGTACGGCGTAGGGTATTTGCAACTTTGCGGCACCTCCTCGCGATTATTGTATTTAATGAGTTTTCATCGTTGAAACGTTACAATTTATCTCACAGTTTTACAATTTTGGGTCATAGTCACGTTTTTTAAAACGATTTCTCTATAAATCGTGACATAAGTTTCAACGTTTCAACGATGAAAGTTCATTAAATACAATAATCGCGAAGGGGTACCGCAAAGTTGTAAATACCTCACGCCGCACCTGCGAAAATGTGAGAGGAGCTCCACGTGAAAAGAAAATTTTGAAATACGCAATCAGCGAGTGTCAGTTTTTTAAATCCGACAATATTCTCAAACTTCAAGCTGTTAAAAATGTTTATCACAATTAACCGAAATTTTTTGATTTTCCAGTTTAGCTGAAACCCAGAACATTGAATAAAGATTACTGTTTTTCTGTCAATGAATATAACAAATGCATATCAATAAATGTAAAAAATGCATAATGCATATCGTGAATGCTCTAAGAAAAGACCCCTGCACTTTGAGCTCCATTATCTCTATTTTTTCAAAGAGATGACAAAAATGTGTCAACTAATAAAATGTTTTCCATAATACCATCAACACTTTTTTGATTCACACAGTTTTTAAATCTCTCACAGAAATTGAAATCCATGAACTCAAAGTTTGAGTATATTGTGGCCTTCATTGTGTTTACGTTATATTGTTAGGTATATTTGAAAAAAAAACTATTAAATCTTTTAGAGTGTTACAAATAGTCTGAAAAATGGCTGGCCAAGGATTTTATTCGACAGTGCTTTTCAGAACCATATAGTTTTTTTCCCAAAAACAGAGTCATATGCACTAACTTACACATATTAATGATCATTGGCATTTAGCCTGCACTTCTGATCAAATAGAGTCATCCCCCTCCCCTTCCTTTTTCACGTGTTTGAATTTCAGTGGACTCGCCGCCGCGTTTCTGCTGCTCAAGCTGCAAAAGCAACGAGAGAAAATGTATCACGTGAGTGAAACAAAAGAGCAACTAGGAGCACGTGACTGTTTAAGGTACTGGATCAAGGATTGGGAAGGAATCGAAGCGAGGAACATGATAGCCACCATTTCAAACTGAACAAGTTGTTCATTGGCATAAGTTTCTCATTTGCAGCGGCTCTCAGTTTTGTGCAAATCGGTACTGCCGTAACCCTGGATAACCCTATTATCTCAGAATTTTGATTTTTCAGCTACCAAACTGAAATATCTCGACCTTCCAGACACACCAGATCTCATTAATCGGAAATTATATTTTGTAATATTGGAAGGATATGTGGTATGCGTGTATTTAAAATTACTTTTATCTGAAAAAATGTTCTAGCTTAATTTTCCTTCAGATTTTCATCGCATCTAGCTGCATTTCACTGGTGGCTATCCTCTTCTTTCAACTTTGCCGTATTCTACAGTTTTCCATTGGTCAGCTCATTGAGGAAATGGTCCCAAAAGAAAAAGAAGAGTGTCCCCTACCCGAGCAATCACTTCAACAAATCCACGACGTTCAAATTCATTACCAAGAAATCTCAAACGCCAAACTTTACATAGAACAGAATTTTTCATTCTCTTTATTCTACACATATGGCTGTTGTATTCCATTAACATGTCTTCTGGGTTACATAGCCTTTAGGAATGGAATACAGGTAGCGGATAATCTGAAATTTGGATTTGAAATTTGTGTTTAAAATTTAGGCTGACATGGCAGAAACCTTCTCGGTTGTGATTTGGCTCACCAATACTATGCTCGCGTTGATGTTATTTTCCATTCCAGCTTTTATGATTGCCGAAGAGGTAAAACGTTTTTGACAGGGGAATCTTGACATCTTGTAAATCCAGATTTTCATAAAAAATTTTGTCAAAATCCGCTCGTCATTTTCAGCCAAGTTATATCAGTTTCGGTATCTAACATTGCGTTTTCAAGACGATTTTCTTTTTTCTAGGACATTTCAAGACTTTTGATGTGTTATGCCACACTTAGAATTGTTTGAATTTCCATATTTTTGAGGTTTTATCAACAGAAAAATTTCAATTTTTTATAAAGATGATTTTTTAAGACGATATCATTTGAAAATCTTAACAACTTTCTTTTGAGATAATGCCTGAAATATAAGATTTTATTGAATTCCGTGCATGACACAGCATATTTTCTTTTCTAAAAAAGCTCTAGAAGTTGAGAAAATCGATTTTGCGAATCAATATTTTGGGCTTACGGCGCGATTTTCTGTACTGAAACTGATATAACTGCTGAAACTGGCAAACAGATTCTAAAATTTTTAGAAATGTCTAGAAGGGATATCTTTGACCTATTCTATAATTTACCTCCAAACCTGGGGTAACAAAGTGTTGATCATACTTGCAAAATCAGGGCCCGGCCAGGCCCGGGTTTCCCAAATTTGAAAATTTTCTGAAATTTCAGACATTTTTTCAAATTTTTTTGTGAAAAAAACTATTTTTTTATGGACACTTTTATCTTGAAAAGTTTTTTACTTGACAGCAAAATCGTCCATTTTTTTCGTTGACCCCGAAAATTTTTTTTGAAAAGACAGGATAAATTTTTCCCTGGCCCTGAAAATCCGGGCCCTGAAAATTCTGAAAAAAGCCCGGCCCAGCCCGTTGCAAATATGGTGTTGAGGATCCTTTTTAAATTTAACTCAAACTGTTATGTTTCTATTTCAGGGAGACAAACTGCTCACTGCTTCTTTCAAAATGTATCATGAGACACTTTGCGAGGAACGCGATCTGTTGGTTTTGGTTTGTTCTATTTTCAAAGTAATTCGTTTGAAAATAGTATGTTACAGTCTCAAATGAGTTTCCTCTCCTTCCAAATGCACGCCACCAAACTAACACTAACCGCTGGCAATTTCTTCATGATGAACCGAAAGATTATGATCAGTGTAAGTCTAAACTCCTTGTTTTCTATTCCTTGAATTTCTTTTTTAGCTCTTCTCCGCAATTTTCACCTACTTCCTCATTTTGGTTCAATTCGACGCGGAAAAGGAGCGAGCCGGAGAGTGCAACAATCAGTCGCGAGTTCTGATTGTTCAACCACCAATGTAAATTTTGTGTTGATAATTCTATCTTCCGATTTTTCGTTTCATCTGTAATTTTTTTTGAATAACCTGAAACCCAATTATTTGAAAAATCTTCACTCTTGAATTTTGTGCACATAAAATAAAGTCATGATTGTTTGGTTTTGTTGGGGACGACATATAAAAGAACACAAGAGTAAAGAGTGGGGCAAAAAGAATAAACGATATAGCCATTACCTAATGTAGGGCAAAAAAGGATGAAGTGGGGGTTAGTAAAAGACTGAATGAGATGACAATTTGGATCAGGGGGTCAAATAAGAAGAAAAGACAAAGATTCAAGGTAATTAAAGCAAAGAAAACAAAGAGATGAGTTAATCACAGCAGGATTCACAAGAAAGTAGACGTTATAGGATACAAAGTGGGTTTTTGGATTTTTTGGTTTTCGTTAAACGATCAAAATGAAGTAAAGAATATTCAACAGGGAATTCGGCAATTCACAGGGGAAGGGAATCTCATGTAACAAGTAAGTATGTTTTGAGGGGACGATACCAGTAATTTAATAGGATGGTATTTTGGTGTTGAGATGAATTATGGGACAATAGAGAAGTCGAAGTTATTGAAAAGCCGTTGATCGGCTTCGGTGATTGGGCGAGTGCTAGTGGCTGATGAGAAGCGGGCACGTTCTGAGGTGAATTCCAGGTCAAAGTTGGACACGTCTTCTGGGTTGCGCTGAAAAATCGATATTTATTCCCAAGATTCGAAGGTTTCTTCAAACTCACAATTTGTGGCTGGAATGGTGGACGAATTTCGCGGGCGAGAAGGTTGTCCCACTCCCATGAGATGTGACGGAAGAAGCGCTGGATTTTGATGTCCTCAGCATCACGTTCTCCATAGCCGAGACGCTTTTCGGGAACCTTGCGGAGCAGCTGGAAAATTTTTTTGTAAGGATATCACATCATAAAGCAGCTGAAACTCACTCTTCTCATGATGGCAATCGACTCAACGGAGAGGTATCTGGGGTAGCGGACGTCTTCAGAGATGATGGAATCGAAGATCTCCTCCTCATCGTCACCGGAGAATGGTGGCTCACCAACGAGCATCTCAAAGATGAGGACACCAAGTCCCCACCAGTCAATGGCCCGAGTGAGGCAGAGTCGGAGAGGACTTCAGCTGAAAATTTTGGGAATTGTGGAACTGCGACAAAACACTGATTTTGAAACTTACGAGCTAAGAATTCCGGAGTTCCACAGAAAGTGCTCGTCTTGTCGAATGGTCCCATATTTTCCTTGCACAGACCAAAGTCAGCAATCTTGACGTATCCATCACGATCCAGCAGCAAATTGTCCAGCTTGATATCACGATAGATGATGTTGTGCTTGTGAAGGAAATCCAATCCGAGCACAACACAGGCGGCGTAGAAGCATCCACGAACCTCATCGAAAACGTCGTCATGGATATGACGCATCAAGTCACCTCCCATGCTGTACTCCATGCAGAAGAAGACGTGCTCAACGGTTTGGAAGCATCCATGAAGGTTGACAAGGAACGGGTGACGAGCGCGAGAGGACACTTCGAAGATGCGCTTTTCGACCATCAATGACTCAACCTCATCTCTTCCAAGAATGTCTCCCTTCTTCAGAACCTTCAGAGCGTAGTAGTTGCTTGTTGGGTTGTGCTGCGACAAGATGACCTTTCCAAAGTGGCCACGTCCAAGAACACTGATCAGTCGGAATTGATCGACAGTGAGTGGTGCGCCAGCACTGGTGGCGAAGAAGTCAATAGTACGAGCCGCTGGAATTGGTGCACTTGTGCTTGGGCCTGATCGATCCGCTGGGATTTCGTCGACGACCAACGCGCGTTCACGAGTCATCGGAGGCATTGGGTATGTTGGGGTAGAAGTGACTCCATGGCTCGATGATGTGACAGAAGAGGCGGCGGCAGAGGCAGCAGCTGCTTCTCGCGCCTCTCGTTGTTTTTTAGCCGACTTGCGTGGATTGAAACCCTGAAAATTTTCAATTAAAAACTATTAGTCACAAGTATTGCATGCTAGCTCCAAACACACTCCAAAAACAACTCATACTTTTTAAAATCAAATCAAATCAAAACAAGCCGCAGAAAAATCAGTAAAGCTTTTTTAGCGAAAAAAAGAGCTCGTTATCTTTTTTTGGAACATGTTGGACAGACACATGATTAGCAGCAGAAAAACCAAAAATTACTCACAGGCAAATGATTACTGACCTTGTCGAATAGCGAATTCGACGTTGCTGGAGGAGCGGAAGCTGACGAAGCTGATGCTCCTGGAGTGGTGGATCCAGACTGCTGATGCTGCGAAGACGTGGAGGCCATTGGAGTGAATCCTGAACAGGGAAAATGAAATCAGTTGGATTTAACAAGAAAAAAAGAGCTGAAGGGATGATCCGTAAATCGAGTGGGGATACACACAAACGATAAATAACAACCACACAAGGAAAAACAACACATCGTGTTTGCCAGGCCGGTTTTGTCCAGAAAAAAAGGCACACAGGTTAAAGTGTGTATAATAATAATTATTATTATTTTTAGTATTATACGTCTGCTTATCCTATTTATATCGAAAATTCTAACTAAACAATTTTTGTGTTGGTATGTTGTATCTGCATGACTGAATTCCCAATCAGAAACTTGAACTTTTGAATGAGAAGAGGGAACAAACAGGAAAATGACGTACCAGTGAATGCGGCGAACTTTTCGCTTGGCTCATTTCCTCTACTCTTGATGAGACGCGAAAATGCAAAGACGCCAAGTTTCTGACGAGCACCGTCATTGGATTCTGAAAAACAATAGCGGAAATTAATGAAAATCTCGTGTTTTTTCCTATACCTTTCACGCGGAACAAACGTCTCTGACGCTCCAACTTAGGCTTACGGCTAACAACGGGATTCATGTACTTGAACTGGACAAAGATATTGCCCTGTGGCTCGACGGGAACAATGATGCCAACTTTGGTAGACGTCTCGATGAGGTTGGAGAGCTTGACAGCGGCGAATCCACACATTGAGCGGTCATCATGGTAGAAGAGCTCGATTTGAAGCTCACGAGAGCGATCCAAGTCCACATCAAACTTCTGATCCCAATTACGGTCCACAATCTTTTTGAGATCCGTCGATCCGATGTAGCGATTGTCAATGCGAAGAACGCAAAAGACCTCCTCTGGTGTCAATGGTCCCTTGAACGATTTCTTCTTCTTGCCAGATGAATCCAAACCGTAGACTGAAATATACCCAGGGATGTTTGGAATATCCTGACGAATTCTCCGATCATAGGTGTCTGCGAGAATTCCAGAGCATCCGTTGATAGTGACCTCCAAGCATCCACTGATTTGAAGCGAGTGAGGCATGAAACTGGAACGACGTGTCGCCACGGTGGAAGACGTTGTGCTTCCTTCCTCGCTCGATGGAGAATTGCGATCCTGGCTGACTGCTTGTGGAGTTGGCACGTTTCCTCCATTGATCTCGCTGATCAGGAATTTTCTCTCCTTGTTGTCCACTGGCAAGCTAGATGCGTACTTCAGAAGAGCCAACTTGATGAGATCTGACTTTTCAGAAGAGATGATCAAACTGTTGAGAGCGTCCTCAATGGCCTTGTTGTCCAGTTTCTTCTGGCAACGCAATGTGCGAATCATGTTGCGAGATCCGTCCATAATAAGCTTCTCCTTGTGATAACGAATGATGAGATCCTGGATGGCAAGCTCCACCTTTGATTTTGGCTCTCCTTCAGCTGCTGGAATATCCTGTGAGAGACGATCGATTTGCATTCGGAGCATTGCAATCTTTGCGCGGCTGTCGTCCAGAAGACTTTGTGAGTCACCATGCACCTTTGACTTGTCAGGAGCACCACGCAGAAACTGCTCGAGTCCTCGCTTCACTTTGAGTTCTTTCTCGAGCTCCAACTGCAGAACGAGTAGTTTGCTGGGTGGTCCATTCTCCACGTCACAGTCTTCCAGATTGTCCAGATACATCACGTCCTCATCTGTAGTTACGAATTTGTATACTGAAAGAATCACACGTATCCTTACCAAATGCACCACTGTTATACATTTCTAACGCTTGAAGATCCTCTTGAAGATCAGCAATCTGTTCGTTGAGATCACACAACTCGTAGCGCAAGAATTCGCTTTGACGACGATCTGAAGTGATGAGCTTAATCCGACTGTATCCACTCTTGATTTTCAGTTTCTTCTTAAGATCCTTGCGAATCACAGAACGAAGTTCGAGCGCCTCCTGTTGAATGCTGCTATTCTCGTCAATTTGGAAGTTGTATTTGTTGGCCAATTCGACCATCTCAGCCGGAGCCGTACCCCAATAAGTGCTGAAAAGAGAGAAGTTAGGGGAGCAGGCAAAATATGAGCTAGCTAGGTATATTGCTTTTTGTTCCTAAACCTGCTGTGCAATTTTCTCAATTCTCGCGTGCACGTGAAGCGTGAAAAGCGGGGTAAAAAATTAGTAATTGTGAACTCTGAAAAAGCGAGAAACAAGCGGTTTTCATCTATTCTTGATTAGAATAGAAAATTGGTCAGACTAGTGGGTGAGTGAGTGAGAAGTGGGCGTGACTGGTTACCAGGAAGTCTCGTGTGAACACAATTCTCTCAATATTCTTGTGTAAGAATATTTCTTGTGATTGTGAGCTATAAAAAACAGCACAGAAAAAAAACACAGAGGTGTGGGAAGCAAAAAGCGGTAGAAGGGAACCTCAACACCTTGGAAACTCAGATTTCGACGAAATTTTCAGAATAGGTTAATGGTAGCCAATCTAGACACTTCTCGAAATTTTAGAATCAGCCCAACAGTTTCAGTACCAAAAATCGCCTAATTACTGCAAAATAGCAAGTTTCAAAGACGATGGTCTCGATTTCCAGAACGTTTCAAAACATGAAATTTGTTGCATCAAACTGAGAATTTGATATTTCAGATATTTTCTTAATTTTTTTTTTCAATTTTTGAATTGTGAAAGAATTCAAAAATATAATTTTTTGAGAAAATGCTTGGATTATAAAAGTTCATTAATTTCTCAGTATCCTACAACAGATTTGACGTTTTGAAACGTGCTAGAAGTTGAAAAATCGCTAAAGATCGGATTTTCAGAACTGAAACTGATATAACTCGGCTGAAACTGGCGAGGGAACACTGAAATGTCTACATAGACTATTCTCAACTTTTCTTGCCAATTTCATAAAAATCGAGGGTTCACAAGGTGCAGAGGTGCCCTTGTTAGTGATTAGAAGCGCCACTGCAAAACCCAAAAAACCTTTGCGAGCGATCCAAAATGTCCAGTGTCCGCGATTTCGGCGATTCTTGCATCTTGAGAATTGGACCCATAAATGGTGGTCCGTCCATTCCGTAGTGCTTCCAGATGTTGGTTGGGCTCGCCACACGATAATATTCGCTCATCTGAGCCGACGCCGACTTTGCGAGAAGTGGACAAATCTTCTTGCGCGATGCACGAAGCACACCACGGGTGAACGATACAACAGGTGAGTTGGTACATGCAGTGATAAGGGTAGAAGCGACAGATGCTCTAGGGGTGCGCGGCGTAGCGCCACTATCACGGAATTTCTCCGCCATTGATTCATACCTGGATCCTCCTTCGCCGTTTCCAAACCCATTGCCAGTCGGGGTCGATGGCAAGTCCGCCGAATGGTGGCGACCTGATCCATTGGTCCCACTCACACCGTTTCCATTCGAGTGATACTCCATGATTTTCTCAGCGTCTAGAATCCGTTAGAACACGCTAATTGGCAGTGATTGTAGTAGTAGTGGTGGCAGTTGACTGTGTGTAGACTGTGTAGAAGGCAAGTGTACACCAAAAATCCAAGCTGATGGCAAACGAGTACCCTGCAAGAAAAAAATTGAACATATGTTTAGAGTTGATGATTTGAGAAAAGAAAAGAAAGAGAGATCGAGAAAAAAACATACGGTGACGAAGGGGTTCAAACTACAAAAGTCCCAAGACTCAAAAATAAAATATAATTCTTTTTGGGTCGGCGGCAAAGATTCCCCACATTTTCAAATGATTGGTGAGGCGCGTCTTTGGAATACCCATGGGGGATCAAATGCGGGGTGAAGAAGACGCCACCAACCAACACCAAATGGGCCTTGTGTATGGTGTGTCAATGTTTGTGTCTTCTTCCGAGGAGAGAGGGGAAGATTTTGGCGCCAAAAAGGACCACTACAAAATGAATAGCGGGGGGAGAAAATAAATGTATAATACAAAACGAAAATTCTGTCTGTGTGTGTATGTGTGTGTGTGATACTTGGTGGGGAGACAGAGAGAAGAGCAAATGAGTGTGCTCTCACTAAACACAAATACAGTTCGAAAAGAAGGGGGAGAGCGTTTTCGATCGATGCAGAGAGGCGAGGAGAGGAACACTTCATGACCCTGGCACCAGAAACAGGTGATGAGAAAAAGGGAAACGTACCAAGGAGGCCGAAAAAAAAACCACGCCAGCTTGACATCAGCTGGTGGCACTGGTTTCGATTTCAAATTTCTATATCGAAACCACATGGTGCTTAAAATAGACGAATGGATGCCATGTGATGTGCTGCTTGCCACAAGACATTAGAACAAGATGAGCAACAAAAATCGGGACCCAACTGGGAAAGAGAAAACGGGGAAAAGGTGACCTAGGCAACAGACAGTGACGTTTTCTTTTCTTTGCCTGTCTACCTCCACCTTTTTTCCCAATACAACATACACGTAAACGCACCGGAGGGGTAGAGACAGTGCATGCACAAGAGATCCGTCCTCTTTTCTTCTGTACTCTCCCCCTTACCGGCCCTCCTCCCGCTCGTTTCGTCGCCTTTTTGCCTCGTTTGCCTCATTTCGGGCGGGCAATCACTTCAGGAGACACTGTTTGGGTGGTGTGGAAGGAGAGAGAGGGAGAGAGAAACAGAGAAGGATAATCAAAACGACACAGGATCTGTCTCTCCGGAGACGAAAACCGTTTCCTCCGCTCAAAATAAGGGGCGAAGAACTGACAGGGTGGATATGTGTGCGGCGACAGATTGAGGTGAGCGAGCGGGAGAGGAAGGACTCTCTTTTTTCGAGAGTATATCCCGCCGATCTCTCATACCCGTGCAAGAAGGGAAAGAGGGAACGGAACATAGAGGATTGTGATGATGAGAAGTGAGGGCCAACACAGCACACAGGTCGAGAGGGGTTGGTGGTGGTGGTGGGATCAGACTAGTAGTGTTGCGATAACTATTGATTAGTAGAGGTTTTCGAGAGATAGAGAGAGACAGAGATAGAGAGAGAGAGAGAGAGATAGGAGATGAGCAATCTGCTCCTAGACTCATGCTCCCCTCCCGAACGATTTGGGTCAAGAAGAAGAAAAAGAAGAAGCTGACCAACTTTTGCAGGTTGATCTTGAGTCCTACCTTGTTACAACCCGGGTCAAACTTGGAATACAGGCGTATGATGACCGTACAAGTCAAAAATTGATAACAATCCACAACCGCTTATCAACTTTGACGTCAGTGGAGAGTTCTCTTCCCGAGTAGTTTGAGACACATAAAAAGATGGAATGGGAACGATAAGCGGAAGAACCAAAAGAAGAGAAGAGAAAGAATGTTTGAAAATGGAAAAAAAACTCCCGCCAAAGAAAAAGAAGTGCTCCTTACTTAGAATTGAAGATGAGTTTTAGTTGGTCCCACGTGGGTTGGCTATTCTCAAAATCTGGTCTCAAAACATTTCTGTTTTGAGTTTTTAAGTTTTAAAACTTTTTCTGCGAAACTTAGAATTGCACTTGCTCTTTTGGGGATTGAGCTTTAAAACTCAAAACTGCAAAATTCTGAGAATCTAGAGAAAAAGGAGATAAAGTTGAAATGAAAATTATAGAGAAAGAGAGAACAACAAGAACGGGTAGAACTTGTTCCTCTTTTCTCTCGAAATCGAATCAGTGCAGAAAATAGGGATTGGAATTAGAATTGTATGTGTGTGTGTATGTGTTCTGTTTAAAGACACTGAAGTGGTGTAATAGCCGTGATAATAAACACTTTTAGGGTTGTTTAAAAGCCCATTTAGGGTTGTTTAAAAGCCTGAAGAAACGAAAAAAAAAAACGAAAAAAAAAATCTTGGGAGAATCAAAAATGTTATAAATAATTTTTAGGCCTTCTAATCTAGACACTTGCTAAACAATTTCGGCGGCCTCATAAACTATTCTTATAAAAATGACGTGTATTTACTCTCCAAAAACTTCCTATTCTTCTTCAAATTGCTGCCTAGCAACCCACCCAAGGCACCGCACAACAGGCCTCCAAATGATTTACTGATATCAATTGCCACTCTCATTCGCCGGATATACAAGCACATCAAGGAACAGGAGAAGAAAAAGAAGAAGAAAAAGAAGAAGAAAAAGAAGAAGAGGACAAGAATCCAAGTAGCAAGAGGTCCCTGAGGGTGAGGGGAGAGGGCAAATGTAACAGTGTTGTTACACCGGCCGGGTAGAAGCTCAGACAACACGATAGCTCGCAGATCGCTTACCCCCATTGATATTGTTGAAAGAGAGATAGAATGCAAAGAGCCGGGAGAGAAAGGTGCACACAACTTTTGAGACACCAACTGTTTTCAAGCTTGTGGTGCCCTCTATCTCTCAGAAACCCGGGTTAAAGGAGCACGCAAAAAGTTTTTTGTGGGGCCGCTCTTTCTATACCTGTGATTTGTTAGAATGCTCCAGAGAGTTGGTAATGGGAGGGACAAAAAAATGTGGAAACTGAGAAATAGAGAGGAGAACGAGCGGAAGGAAAAAGTTCGTGTGACGTGGAGCAAAGAGTGAGAGATCGGGAGGAAATGGATCAAAACGACAAGTGGAGGTTATGAGTAGTGGCGTTCAACTTGTCATGTTTTTAGTTTGGTTTACCTAGGGAGCTCGAAAGGTGATTATAGATTAGGGGGAAAAGAGCAAGCAGCTACTCAAAAGAAGAAAATTTCGATAATAAGTAGTTTTATAATTCCAACTAGAATTGAAGATGATTCGACTTTTGAAGGAATCCCGGAAGACTAAGACAAAAGGGTTCAAGAGAACTACTGTAATTCAAAAAGAGCTTGAAGCAGAAAACCAATAAAAGTTTATGACCTCATTTTTTAGAAGATGGACTGGGTGCTAAATTTAGGCAGGAATTTTATAACTTTTGGGAATACGGTAGTGAAAAAATAGCTCTCTTTTTTGAAAGAATTTGAAATTTTTCTCGAAAATGATTCCTCCAGTCGATTCAAAAAGCATGAAAGAACTAAATAGAACTACCGTAGTCCAAAAAGCCTTTGAGCCAAAGTACGAGATTCCAACCTACTAGAACTGCGGTAGTGAGAAAGAACTCTGGCTTCCAAATAAATCGTAAGAAGACTCTTCCTGCCCATATAAATACATCGAAAACAAAATCTTCTTGATCATATCCTAGACATGACGAGCCAAAAAAAAAAGAGGCGGAGCTTGCGTACCGACATGCTCAACCCACCACCAGCTACAAATCACGGCTATTAACATATACAACAGCCATATAGTAGTCGAAACGAAAGCCAAAGCTTTGTAGGTACGCCTACCAAGCCATTTAGAACGCGCCAGAACAAAAAAAAGTGAGAAAGTGTTGAGAATTTGGCGACAATGGGACACATAGAAGGCTTTGGCGTCGGCTTGCGAACACTCTGAACCGGTTTCATGGCGGTGTTGGGAGAGAAACATGGGAGAAGTGAGGAACGAAAATGTTTGTGTGAGTGTGAAAATGCCGCGAGAAACAATGATAGATGCGAGGAGAAGGATTATTTTTAATTTTTTTTCTGGGTTCAACTGAGAGAAATAACACCAGGAGAAGTTTGAGTCATGATGAGTAGGAAGACTCCTAGATGATGACAAGACTGGTTTCAAAATGAGCGTTAAAAAAGAGTAGCTATCTTTTTCGAACACCCTGAGGTTATAAACAGAAAAATAGATGGGGCAAAGATAGGCGAGAGAAACGAAAATTTGACTTTCAAATTCTATTTTCCCCCAACGAAACGGACCCCAGTAAAGCCCCCCCCCCCCCCCCCAGAAGAAGATGCAATCTCTTCTTTAACTCTGTTTGGCTGTGTCGGGGTGACCAGTGGACAAAGAAAGAATAAGTAGAAGAGGACGACAATGTTGCCACGGATATAATAGATTGACAAGGACACAACGGGTGCACCCCAACACCACCAGTGGCGTCTTTCACCCTCACAGTACAACAAGAAAATTGGCCCTAATTCGATGATCATGAAAAATTGAAAGAATGCATTGAGAAGGACACTGGGGACCCCCGATTCTTATTCTTCTTTTCCAGAAAAAAATAAGTGGTGGTTGTGAGAAAAGAATGAAGCAAAAAAAGAGCATCATTCCCGAGTGTGCCATCTGGGACCAAGTGTTTTGTCGGCAAGAAGAAAAAAATGTGGAAAAAGAGCAGAAAAAAAGAGAACATGAATATTCTTGTTCTCTTTTTCAAATAGCTCTCAAGAGAAAGGGAAGACGAAGACACTAGCAAAAACTTGAAGACAATAAAAAATACGTTTTCTGTGTGCATTGCTTGACATCATCGCCCTAATTTTTCTCCATGGGGACAAAGAGGCACGAAAAACTATTGTTTGTGCTTATCAACCGTTTTTTCGTATGCTTTTTTCCTAGGCTCTATTGTCTTCCGCACTGTCTCATTGCCTCCGAAAGATAACAAAAGATATTTTGAAAACAAAGCGA